CCATAAAGGTAAGAGGAAGGGAGATCACTCTGCGTTCCTGCCGTGATGGCTCATGGATCGTAGGGAGGGCGGGATTGTTTTTCTTTTGAATCTTTTGTTGTTGGGATACAAAGATGGGTGTAGGTACTGTATTTGCATACTAAAGTTATGGTAATTATTACTGAAATGAAAATACACTTTGCAATGTTCTTTGTAGATTCCACAGGTTGTTTTCCTGGTGTTACAAAAATTGGATCATATTGTATTTTTTTATTCCAGGTTACTGTGGAACAAGGCAGCACAACTGCTCATCAAACGCTGCTTGTACTGACAATGCCTCACAAGGGTTCACATGTACCTGTAATACAGACTATGTAGGGAATGGATTCAGCTGTGCACGTAAGTACAATTCTTGTGTATTTTTATCATGCAGATAATATGTAGTGTATTAGGATGTAAATATTGAGCATTCAGACATTCTACAGCACCTATGACTGATAACTCATTCAGTGATTGGGTAAAGACATAATACTATAAGGGTTTTAACATGGATTTGTTTATTTTCTTCAGACCAATGTGATTCAGGCTACTGTATAAGAGGGTCATGTAGCCGTTTCCCACTCTCATGTTCCTGTCCAAATCTGTATACTGGAGACAGATGTGAAATCCGGCAAGGTATGTTTTGTCTCCTATAGATAAACAAACTTTTAACTTGTACTGTGGTTAATTTTATGAAAATACCTTTGTAATTGTGTCTACTGAATTGTAAAAATATCTTGTTTTTGTCACAGATGCGAGCATTAGTGCCACCCCAAATGAGAGCATCGTCATTGGGGCGAGTATTGGGGGTGCGGCCTTATTAATGATAGTCATCATTATTGCTGTCTGCTGCTGTGTCTCTGCCAAGTAAGGGTTTTTTCAGTGGCCACAGGCTGTTAAACCTGCTTATATGCTAAAGAAATACCTTCATTAAGTTCATATGGCAACTCAAACATCAAGTTACTGGACAAAGTTTTCAACATTGAAAAATTTCTATATAACGTACTGTCATTTACAGGGTTGTATGTTCACCAGAACATTGTGTATGTGTTGTGTGTTGACCAGAACATTGTGTACTGATATTGTATGTGTTGTGTGTTGACCAGAACATTGTGTACTGATATTGTATGTGTTGACCAGAACATTGTGTACTGATATTGTATGTGTTGACCAGAACATTGTGTACTGATATTGTATGTGTTGTGTGTTGACCAGAACATTGTGTACTGATATTGTATGTGTTATATGTGGACCAGAACATTGTGTACTGACATTGTATGTGTTGTGTGTTGACCAGAACATTGTGTACTGATATTGTATGTGTTGTGTGTTGACCAGAACATTGTGTACTGATATTGTATGTGTTATATGTGGACCAGAACATTGTGTACTGACATTGTATGTGTTGTGTGTTGACCAGAACATTGTGTACTGATATTGTATGTGTTGTGTGTTGACCAGAACATTGTGTACTGATATTGTATGTGTTGACCAGAACATTGTGTACTGATATTGTATTTGTTGTGTGTTGACCAGAACATTGTGTACTGATATTGTATGTGTTGTGTGTGGACCAGAACATTGTGTACTGACATTGTATGTGTTGTGTGTTGACCAGAACATTGTGTACTGATATTGTATGTGTTGTGTGTTGACCAGAACATTGTGTACTGATATTGTATGTGTTGACCAGAACATTGTGTACTGATATTGTATGTGTTGTGTGTTGACCAGAACATTGTGTACTGATATTGTATGTGTTGACCAGAACATTGTGTACTGATATTGTATTTGTTGTGTGTTGACCAGAACATTGTGTACTGATATTGTATGTGTTGTATGTGGACCAGAACATTGTGTACTGACATTGTATGTGTTGTGTGTTGACCAGAACATTGTGTACTGATATTGTATGTGTTGTGTGTTGACCAGAACATTGTGTACTGATATTGTATGTGTTGTGTGTTGACCAGAACATTGTGTACTGACATTGTATGTGTTGTGTGTTGACCAGAACATTGTGTACTGATATTGTATGTGTTGTGTGTTGACCAGAACATTGTGTACTGATATTGTATGTGTTGACCAGAACATTGTGTACTGATATTGTATTTGTTGTGTGTTGACCAGAACATTGTGTACTGATATTGTATGTGTTGTGTGTTGACCAGAACATTGTGTACTGACATTGTATGTGTTGTGTGTTGACCAGAACATTGTGTACTGATATTGTATGTGTTGTGTGTTGACCAGAACATTGTGTACTGATATTGTATGTGTTGTGTGTTGACCAGAACATTGTGTACTGATATTGTATGTGTTGTGTGTTGACCAGAACATTGTGTACTGATATTGTATTTGTTGTGTGTTGACCAGAACATTGTGTACTGATATTGTATGTGTTGTGTGTTGACCAGAACATTGTGTACTGATATTGTATGTGTTGACCAGAACATTGTGTACTGATATTGTATGTGTTGTATGTGGATCAGAACATTGTGTACTGATATTGTATGTGTTGTGTGTTGATCAGAACATTGTGTACTAATATTGTATGTGTTGTGTGTTGACCAGAACATTGTGTACTGATATTGTATGTGTTGTATGTTTACCAGAACATCACCACCACCATCAAAATATGTACCTGTACAAGAATATCAGATGCCAGTAAGGTATAATCCCTATACAACGTTTTCAAAACCTGCCCTGATGCCTCCTCCATCCGTCCACGAATCTGTTTACGACAACAGATCCTATCTCGCAGACACACAGAACCCGGAGCTCACCTTAGATTTTTCAAATGGTAGTAAGTAAACATATACAGTGTTATGACTATTATGACTTGTAGCCTGTTGATGCCTTCCTTTTAACCATTTCTCCACAAGAACAACAATACTTATCGTTTGACATTTACTGTCTAGGTGGAAGGGCTGTCAATTTTATCAAAACAAATCGCCACATTGAGAATCATTTGGATCAGATATTTTTAAATCTTCCAATCAACTTATATAAATCATTGATATTGATGAAGCTGTTGAATGCCCTGAATGTGCGAACATGTACCTTTCCTTTCACTATATACAAAACAAGTAGTATTTCTCCTGTTTTCTGAAGTAATTAACAGGGTGATTCGATGGAATGACAGGATAAATCTCACATGGAGTAGGAAAAGACAGCTGGCATATACTAGAAAACAACTCACATTAGGATAGCATCATCATTTTATGTAGCGTAACCTTGTTGTAATCAATGTTTATGCACATTTAATGGGACATTGAGGAGAGTGTGATGATCAAATTTTACAACATTTTACAATTTTTTAAAGTGAGAAAAAAATCAAACATAGGTCAACCCTTATGTATGTAAGTGTCAAATTAACCAGCCAAACTATTATACAAGGGTTGAGATATTCCAGCCCATGGAACAGTCCCATGTAAGATTTTATTATACAAGGGTTGAGATATCCCAGCCCATGGAACAGTCCCATGTAAGATTTTATTATACAAGGGTTGAGATATCCCAGCCCATGGAACAGTCCCATGTAAGATTTTATTATTCTCTCTAAATCACTGTCACATATTCCAAATGTCAATTGAATGATTCCTGGGATTTGATGCTACCAGATATTCCAGTCCTTGAATAAGTGGGACTGCATTTGAGTTGGCATTCATAATGCTGTGGATGCCATCTGAAACCAGTTCAATGCTTACATTTGTCATTTTCATTTAGGAGAGACAACCTTAATTTGTTTTCACTACTTGTAAAATTCCTAAATTATTAGCAGTCTATTATTTGGTAATATACAAATGACTTTACACCACAGAAAATGACTGATTCTATTGGTGTTACAGATTCAGATCCTGCCTTCTACACTGCCTGAGAGATAGCTGGATGTACACAGAGAGTTTGTGAAGACTGAAACACACTGGCATGAAATGGTTGCTAATAACAAATCTATTGAACTTTTGAATGTAATAACTTTGTTCCCATACAGAAATATCATTATATATAACACTGGCATTAGTCAGCATCATTGTGTATACCAATCCTCTGTGTCATGTCCTTTTCTAATTTGTGTCAGCTGTTACACGATCTTACTACCCAAAATGGTCTGTCCATCTGTCCGTTATACTTTATATATTGTTGGTCAGAGTGGGGTGAAGTTTATTTCATGTAATATATATTTACTCTTAGTCAAGGTCACACTAATGTACTTTAGAACGATTGTAACACCAAATTTAAAAATTTGAGTAAAGTGCCTCTATATTTCTGTGACTGACATACTAAAAAATGTTTTTTGTAACACTTGTCTGTTAGGATATTTTTTGACATTTGTTTTTTCCAAGTTATTAAATTATAATATGTATAAAGAACTATGAATGCGGATGAGATGAATTTATAGCCTTCCTAGAGATTATTATTAACAATCAAAGTAAGGTCACATGAACACTTGTATATAAAACCAGCTTGAATGGTTTCCTAAGATCCTACCCCTGGTTGAATGGTTTCCTAAGATCCTACCCCTGGTTGAACGATTTCCTAAGATCCTACCCCTGGTTGAATGGTTTCCTTAGATCCTACCCCTGGTTGAACGGTTTCCTAAGATCCTACCCCTGGTTGAACGATTTCCTAAGATCCTACCCCTTATTGAATGGTTTCCATAGATCCTACCCCTGGTTGAATGGTTTCCTTAGATCCTACCCCTGGTTGAATGGTTTCCTAAGATCCTACCCCTGGTTGAACGATTTCCTAAGATCCTACCCCTGATTGAGGGGTTACATTAGATGCTAGCCATGGTTAGAGAATTGAATAAGATATGTTTGCCATGGTTGTTGTGTTATATGAGATACTGGTCCTAGTTGTGCTTCTGAAATATGCAAAACATAACTGAACACAGTCTGTAGTGTCAGGAACAAACTCTGCCTGTGGGTTATGTGTTGATTATCCAGGCCGTGCCCAAGGAGATATGTAAGGAACACACTATGACTGTGGGTTATGTGTTGATTATCCAGGCCGTGCCCAAGGAGATATGTAAGGAACACACTATGACTGTGGGTTATGTGTTGATTATCCAGGCCGTGCCCAAGGAGATATGTAAGGAACACACTATGACTGTGGGTTATGTGTTGATTATCCAGGCCGTGCCCAAGGAGATATGTAAGGAACACACTATGACTGTGGGTTATGTGTTGATTATCCAGGCCGTGCCCAAGGAGATATGTAAGGAACACACTATGACTGTGGGTTATTTGTTGATTATCCAGGCCGTGCCCAAGGAGATATGTAAGGAACACACTATGACTGTCAATTGCACTTGTTATTGGTCCTGTTCATAGGGTTGTGTATAGGTTATCAGTCCTGTTCATAGGGCTGTGTTAGAGAGAAACCACTGCTAGGGGTGTGTATAGGTTATCAGTCCTGTTCATAGGGTTGTGTAAGAGAGAAACCACTGCTAGGCGTGTGTATAGGTTATCAGTCCTGTTCATAGGGTTGTGTAAGAGAGAAACCACTGCTAGGGGCGTGTATAGGTTATCAGTCCTGTTCATAGGGTTGTGTATGGGTTATTGGTCCTGTTCATAGGGTTGTGTAAGAGAGAAACCACTGCAAGGGGTGTGTATAGGTTATCAGTCCTGTTCATAGGGTTGTGTAAGAGATAAACCACTGCAAGGGGTGTGTATAGGTTATCAGTCCTGTTCATAGGGTTGTATAAGAGATAAACCACTGCAAGGGGTGTGTATAGGTTATCAGTCCTGTTCATAGGGTTGTGTAAGAGAGAAACCACTGCTAGGGGTGTATATAGGTCATCAGTCCTGTTCATAGGGTTGAGTTTCAGCTATCGGCCCTGTCCATGGGCATTTAATGAACAAACCCTAAATGGGAGCTTAGATATATGGGTTACAAGCCTTGTCTATTTCGTAATGTAAGAGACAACCCTGACTGTATTGTACTTTATTTTTGTAGAGAAATAACCTGGATTTGTGTGTGTGATTCTATCAAATAGAATGTCTAATTGGTAAATAGGTGTTTTATCTCATGTTTTTTAATGTTTTACTATATATATATATACAAAGAATTTATATATCTATATATATTCATTTAAATCTCATCAAGCTTAGTCACATAATCTTGAAAAAACTAATAAGAATTTGAAATTTTATTAAGAGCATGAGTTCCTAAAGATGGTTTATGAAAACCTTGGTATCAGTTTAGCGTGTCCCATTGTATTTGCTTATGTTTTACTTCACAATTTGGTGTAATACTGACATGTATGAATGATTGTCCGTACACAAATGATAGTCAGTGGGATGAACAAATGACACAATTTTTACCTGATAATGAGCCAAAGTAGGCAAAATAGACCTAAACTGTGTTGGTAGAATGATAAGGCTATATTGTACACAGAACCAAAGAAATCCCTCATAACCACTGTACAGTCCATACCCATGGGATATTTCTACATCTCGAGGATGATGCCATAAATATAACCGCCATACCAGCCAGAGCCACAGGATATTTCTACGTCCAGAGGGTGTGGCCAGAGCCATGGAATATTTCTACGTCGAGAGGGTGTGGCCAGAGCCACAGGATATTTCTACGTCTAGAGGGTGTGGCCAGAGCCATGGAATATTTCTACATCGAGAGGGTGTGGCCAGAGCCACAGGATATTTCTACGTCGAGAGGGTGTGGCCTATAATTTAATCATACAGGAATCATGTGTATATATATTGAATTATATCAAGCATAACATTCCAATTATTTTAATATATCTTGAAATCAAAACATATATACTTTTTTACAAAATTTTAATAAATATTTTTGTATGAAGTTCTATGTTGTTTTTTATATTGAATAGAATGATTGATTAAACCAAAGCAACAGGAAATTAATTATGTGTCTTAATTCAAATTTAATTTCAATGAAACAAGGGCAAATATGCAAAAATGAAATATTTGCATTCGGACTGATTGAAATGTACATGGAGAACACCAAGTATTGTTTAAACAGCACGTGTCCCCTGCCCTAGCAGGATATTTCACAGTAAATTTTATAAAAATAGTGCTGTTTGGTGTTCATTTGGAAAAAAGACAAGTATATATAATTTTTAAAACTTATTTTATGTAATAATGCAATAAATATATATGACAATCTGACAATGCATTTTTATCACCAATATGTAATAATGTGGTTGAAAATGTATAAGGTTTATCAAAATCCCATAAACAATGAATTACACTAGATCATTGAAATTTTAACTCACCTGGTCCAAAGGGCCATTCTAGTGAGTGTATACCGGACACCATGCATTGGCCATCCCTCAAATGACAAAAAAAGTGTGATTTTTGGGTAAAAGTTCACAATATTTCTTTATTTTTAAAGAAAACTAAATATGAACATGCTGATAATAACATGCTAGATATCATATATGCAAAGCAAGAAGTCACAGTTTTGAATACATTGGGAACAGGAGATAAAAAGTAATGGATTTTGATAAAGGACATGCTCTTTTTTACATAAAGTGAGGTTTTCTGAAGGTCAAAAATACAACTTACTATTAGAGTCCATTCATAATTATGTGCTAAAAATCATCTTCAAACAGTATAAAATAAATCACCCAATGCACTAATTAGTAGTTTAGTGCAAAGTAATCAAAATTGATTAACAATATCGCTATATCTCTTTTAAAGAAAAGACGAGCAAAGGTGAAAATCTTTTCTGGATTGAAAAGTGAAATGAAATGTTTACACTTGGTTTTATTAAGTACAAAGGAACTGTCCCTACACTGAAAAACGACCAAGTGAACTTTCAACTTTCAAAATGGTCGTCATATTTCCTAATAAAAACAAAAAAATTAATGTTCTTACAACTGCTGAATCTATATTCTAACAAGAATGCTCGATGATATGTTTAAGTTGATTTACACATTGAACCACCTAATCTGGAATCCAGTAATGTTTCTCCATCCGAGAATTTGATTTCAGTACGTGTTGGCCTACATCGTACAGTAATGTAGTTCTTATTGTCCATGTCAACTAAAGCTAATACCTTGAAGATGACGGTTGGTAGCGAAATCTAAGTTACTTGACTTTGGGATGCAAAGACTTGATTTCCAGATGCATGTAGTATCCTAAATAGTACAGGATAATGGCTATGTGGGCACATACCCCCATGGTTCTCTGCCCAGTAGGAAACTGGCAATAATAATCCTTTATAGGGTTAATGGCGTCGAAGCTGTCATGCTGGATTCAAACACTGTATTTTACACTGCTCTTATGCCTCAAGTGGATCTGACATCGTACAATGTCTCATGAGTGTCGATAGATCCAGATCTCGTAGTCACCATCATCACTGAGGTGTTCACTTATGTCGCCAGCTGCCAATGAAATTTGGTAGGTGCCACACAGGATACTGTCCGAAGGTATTCCGTGTCTAGTTTGGAAAGTCACAATTATCCACAGTAGCATCTAGTTGGACAAATAGTGACTTGGTCTTTCTGGTAGGATCTGGCTCATTTTTCTCATGCTGGGCTAGTTTATTGTGAACACTAAGACGCGCCTTCATTTGGCAGCCAGCGCCCTATCCTTGCGTCTCACTCATGTGTTCTAACATATATGGGTCCTCGGATTCCATAGCGACGGACTGTTACTATTCTAAAGAGTGCCTCGATGACATCAGTGAAATAGTTGGAGGCAAGTTGTTTTGAAAAACAGCCATTGCTTTAATCATCCGTGATATGACTCCTCTACCCACCTGGATTTAGTTATGGATCTGTCAAGGTCAGTTTGTAGGTCGTCATGTTTAGTCTGCCAAGGTTCTAGATAAGACGGCATATTTGATGTCAAACTACGTGATTCCAACTCTGGCAAAACATCCCTAAGCCTTCGATCATTAATAACGTTGTCATCTTTCTCCAGCCAGAGAGACTATCCATGACAGCTTTTGTAATCTTAGCATCATTATCTCTTCCAGGAAAAAGCTCTACGGTGTCCAGAATGTAACCATCAACCAGGGCTATGCCCATGAACTTCAAATAGTTCCACTTCTTCTGTCCACACAAGGAGATTCTCTGGAGTTTGTGATCAGAACTCTTTGGAATAAAGATATATGTACTGTCAAGTTTGACAGTCGCCTGCTGGCTAAGTAATGCTTCTGAGAACACAGTGTTATGCTCCAGCATATTTCCCTCGTGAGCTGTTCATGTCCAATAAACAAAGGAACAATGGTTATTTCTGATGGAACAAGATGTTTTCGAAACACTGGAAATTGACATGTTAAATCGAGTTGAATACTGTTTCCATGATAAATCCGTCTTCACTTTTACCAAGAACAACAGTAATGTATCCTCGTGGTTTGGAGTGTAAATACCAGTGCCAATAGAGGATGAACAATAAGAAAGAATATTGAGAAACTGTGTTCTAATCCAACCATTCCAAGCTTTACAATCTGCATCAACCAAAGACGAGAAACGTAGAGTAAAAGAAGACTCCTGCTTTGATAGCATATTTGATATCCCCCGAAGATCATTGATAATTTCCTTTGAAATGGAAGGTAGCTGGGAAGTCAGCCTTTCCCTTTCATCAGTACGGATAACAACGTTAGGGTTAAGATCTTTCCCTATGAGATGATGAGGACAAATATGTGAGGACATGAGTTGGTGTTTTCCGCGTTCAGGCAATATGGTTGAGTTTTGATTAAAACTCTTCATACATAGTGTGCATTTTGCGTGGCAAGACTGGCCATAAAACACATCCTCTGTGGATAATAGTGAGATGTTTTACTACGTATCATCATCAACACCAACGTTTAGATCCTCTATGGATAATAGTGAGTGTTTTACTACGTATCATCATCACCACCAACGTTTAGATCCTCTATGGATAATAGTGAGTGTTTTACTACGTATCATCATCAACACCAACGTTTAGATCCTCTATGGATAATAGTGAGATGTTTTACTACGTATCATCATCAACACCAACGTTTAGATCCTCTATGGATAATAGTGAGATGTTTTACTACGTATCATCATCAACACCAACGTTTAGATCCTCTGTGGATAATAGTGAGATGTTTTACTACGTATCATCATCAACACCAACGTTTAGATCCTCTATGGATAATAGTGAGATGTTTTACTACGTATCATCATCAACACCAACGTTTAGACCTTCTGGTTGTGGCTTTCATTTCTTTCTTAAACTACTTAGCACACATACCAATTCTTTGATCATCAGTTAACGTATTGTCATCTACTTTTAAAACATTAAACAACCAATTGTCCTGGGGAAGACTTATATTTCTTACAGATGTCATTGTTTTAATGTCTCTCCTAAAGACAACTCTACAACCTACACCTACATATCTACCTCTCGTTGTGAGATTGGTACCGTGTTAGGTGTTTAAAGTCTCCATCTTAGTAGAAAATGTACAAAGTATTTTTATATATCCTGGAGTAAAGACAAATACCCTACCTGCCACCGCTGAGGTTTGACCTAGCGACCCTTCTGTCTCTAACTGGACACTCGACTAAAGGGAAATTCCCACACATTTCAACATCTTTACAATTAAAAATGAAGATAATTAATTCAGCTATATACTTCAGTTAGGTGACTGGTCACGTGGTACGTGTGACGTCAAAGTGTTACGTACCGACCATATGACAGTGTAGAAGGCAGACACTTTTCATATAATTCCGTTTTATTTATTTACTTATTATGATTTATTTTTTAAATTTCTTTTTATTTTTATTTTTTTTTTTTTTTGATGTCCTGAACTGTCAGTAAGATGATCTGTATACACAATATGTCATTTTATAGAGAAACCTGAGTACCTCAAACTATTTTAATAGATTTAGTAGAAAATCCCCACCGAAGGACGAAGAGATTCAGCTACGTTATATATTCAATTATACATGCATGCATATCACAGCTGTTATTGTTATAGAATTTTGTTACAAAACAAGATAAATGTACAAGTATTAAGGATTTTTCATACTTCAGCTTGTCCGTTCTGGTGGTTTATATACCAGGACACTTTAGTATACTCGGGTCCATATGGTTATATACGTGTCAACAATTGTAAGAAAACGAGAAATATATAGATATATGACAATTCAGTACTAAATGACTTAAAGGATTTTGAGAGTTGAACGACCGAAGGCTACAATCTACCTATATATATACTCTGATTGGTGGCTTGAAATTGTTGGGGAAGAAATCGCATACACACGTCAGGATTTTCATATATACTCGTACATGAAATTTTCAGAGAAAAGACAGGATTCTTAATTTATTATTCATAACTCTGAAATTTTCTCTTAGGCACAGTGAACTGAATTATTTATAAATCTGAAATTTTCTCTAAGGCACAGTGAACTGAATTATTCATAACTCTGAATTTTTCTCTTAGGCAGAGTGAACTGAATTATTTATAAATCTGAAATTTTCTCTAAGGTAGGGTGAATTATTCATAACTCTGAAATTATCTCTAAGGCAGAATGATCTGAATTATTCATAACTCTGAATTTTCTCTAAGGCAGGGTGAACTGAATTATTTAAAACTCTGAAATTTTCTCTAAGGCAGAATGATCTGAATTATTCATAACTCTGAATTATTCATTGCTCTGAAATTCTCTCTAAGGCAGGGTGAACTGAATTATTTAAAACTCTGAAATTCTCTCTAAGGCAGGGTGAACTGAATTATTTAAAACTCTGAAATTCTCTCTAAGGCAGGGTGAACTGAATTATTTAAAACTCTGAAATTCTCTCTAAGGCAGGGTGAACTGAATTATTCATAACTCTGAAATTCTCTCTAATGCAGTGTGAACTGAATTATTTTTACTCTGAAATTCTCTCTAAGACAGGGTGAATTATTTATAACACTGAATTTTTCTCTAAGGCAGGGTGAACTGGATTATTTATAACTGAAATTTTCTCTAAGGCAGGGTGAACTGAATTATTCATAACTCTGAAATTCTCTCTAATGCAGTGTGAACTGAATTATTTTTACTCTGAAATTCTCTCTAAGACAGGGTGAATTATTTATAACACTGAATTTTTCTCTAAGGCAGGGTGAACTGGATTATTTATAACTGAAATTTTCTCTAAGGCAGGGTGAACTGAATTATTTATAACTGAAATTTTCTCTAAGGCAGGGTGAATTATTGATAACACTAAAATTTTCTCTAAGGCAGGGTTCATCCAAAGGATTGTATGAAGATTAAGTGCAATTTTTTAAGAATAATTATATTGTGGTTTTTTTCTCCAGCATACCATAATTTATTTCTACTGTTTTATTTGTATGTGCCACTGTTTATTGTTGTTAAATATCTGCAATTTCTCCTGATTTGTTATTGCCATCAATATACTCAGTCGATGATTTACTCGTCAAAACATATTCTTAATTCAAACATAAACACAAAAATAGAAAATTAATTTCAAAGGAAAGATTCGTTGGTGAAAATCATTTTTATTACAAGTGAAAACAAAAAAATTAAGATGTGTTGATAAAACTAAATTTAAGATACTGAAAATAAAATTTCTAAAAACTACGACTTGATAAAAATTCCTATTTGATACAAAGAGGGAAAAAATATCAAAAATACACCTATTGATAAACAGAATCAACAATGAACTTATATTCATAATTAACAATGAACGTGTACTTAATAATACTTGTGTTTATCAATTCAAAAATTTTAATTTTTCACAAATAACAATATCTTGTTTATTATTTTTTTTTTATTAAAGATAAGGATAATTTGAACCTTGTAAATTTTTTCACAAATAAGATTATCTTGTTTATTTGTTTATTAAAGATAAGGATAAAATAAACCTAGTAAATTCTATACGAAAGTGACTTCATAATAAAACCATTTACAATATAACCAAGATCGAAAGGACGACAAAAATTATTTATATGATTTTTAGCCATTTTCATCTTTTATTTACTAGTTTTTGCAAAATTACCGAAAATAGATTAATTTAGTTATTGATTTTTTATTTTTTAGATGGTATCTCACCTGAAAATGTTGATTGATAATGTTGTCTCTGTTGTCCCGCATCTCCTGATCACAAGCAATGCTCGTCTTCAACCGCTAAATAGTACCGCAATGTTATATATATACATATATATAAACAGAATTAGTTAATCAAACCTGAATTTTCAAACAATATTTTTAATATGATTTAGCATACAATGTACTAGACAAGAAGGTGCATGCACTCAGAAAAAGAGAGGCCATTTAAATGCTGGCGTCGACATGATTTTAGAGTACGTTTTTGATTTACTACAATGAGGTGTCGGCAGTGTCGTTCGTTTAATTTGATGCTTAAATATTACGTATCTCTTATCAAGTGGAAAATCGAGCGGTGTAACGAGGATCTGTGTAGCGGTATGACAGACACACCCTCGGCTATCGGACTTTACTCTGCACACGAATGATTTAATATGCATATTTTATTGGTAATTTTCGTACATTGGGAATATGTTTTTTGCGTTATGTTTATCTATCACGAGTTTTGAACAACGGCCGTTTGTGTTATTCAATGTTTATAGGGGGTCGTCGGATACAAATCACACTCTTTTAATGGGACGTGAATAGGATGATATATTTGTTATTAACAGAATGGTATATACTTAATAACCCGTGGACATTGGATAGAGAACGTAAATATGGCCGAATGTTATCCGTGGATGGAGAAATGACAAACTTATTGACGTAGTCTAAAGACTCCAAAGATATTAGTCAAGGTTTCGATATCACGGCTCTTGTCGAGTAGACTCTTAACTATGAAAGTAGAATGTTTCGATAATGCAGTTTCCCAAAACCATGCTGCCAGTTTCTGTCTCCTGTTTCAAAAACACTTAACCAGGTATGATACTAGTCCTCTAAACGTACCAGGTAGCTTCGTGGTCGAAACTGGTTCCAAAAGTACAACCATTACACTGTACCCGGTACTAAGGTGGTCTGTATCATCAAAAGTGCGTAACTATTACACTGTTCCCGGTACTGTGCTGGTCTGTATTATCCAAAAGTGTGTAACTATTACACTGTACCCGGTACTGTGGTGGTCTGTATTATCCAAAAGTGTGCAACTATTACACTGTACCCGGTATTGTGGTAGTCTGTATTATCCAAAAGTTTGCAACTATTACACTGTTCCCAGTACTGTGGTGGTCTGTATTATCCAAAAGTGTGTTACTATTACACTGTACCCGGTACTGTGGTGGTCTGTATTATCCAAAAGTGTGCAACTATTACACTGTACCCGGTACTGTGCTGGTCAGTATTATCCAAAAGTGTGCAACCATTACACTGTACCCGGTACTGTGCTGGTATGTATTATCAAAAAGTGTGCAACTATTACACTGTACCCGGTACTGTGTTGGTCTGTATTATCCAAAAGTGTGTAACTATTACACTGTACCCGGTACTGTGGTGGTCTGTATTATCCAAAAGTGTGTAACTATTACACTGTACCCGGTACTGTGGTGGTCTGTATTATCCAAAAGTGTGTTACTATTACACTGGACCCGGTACTGTGGTGGTCTGTATTATCCAAAAGTGTGCAAATATAACACTGTACCCGGTACTGTGTTGGTCTGTATTATCCAAAAGTGTGTTACTATTAAACTGTACCCGGTACTGTGGTGGTCTGTATTATCCAAAAGTGTGTAACTATTACACTGTACCCGGTACTGTGCTGGTCTGTATTATCCAAAAGTGTGTAACTATTACACTGTACCCGGAACTGTGTTGGTCTGTACTAACAAAAATGTGTAACTATTACACTGTACCCGGTACTGTGGTGGTCTGTATTATCCAAAAGTGTGTAACTATTACACTGTACCCGGTACTGTGTAGTCTGTATTATCCAAAAGTGTGCAACTAATACAGTGTACCCGGTACTGTGGCGATCTGTATTATCTATCGATATCAATATATCGATATTGAGACGTTATCGGGAAATTACTCCTGTTGTATAAAAGTTGTATCGATATTGAGACATTATCGGGTAATTACTCCTGTTGTATAAGTTTTATTGATATTGAGACGTTATCGGGTAATTACTCCTGTTGTATAAGTTTTATTGATATTGAGACGTTATCGGGTAATTACTCCTGTTGTATAAAAGTTGTATCGATATTGAGACATTATCGGGTAATTACTCCTGTTGTATAAGTTTTATTGATATTGAGACATTATCGGGTAATTACTCCTGTTGTATAACAGTTGCGGTCATATTGCGACAGCGTAAATTCCTTTAGTCGACATGGTGATGTCTACAATATTTATTGCGTACAAAACATCGGTAAATCAAAACGTTATAAAAATAGTAACCTTTTCTTTCCATCATTTATAACACCTGTGATAATCCTACCCGACAACGCCTAGATGTACCAGGTAGCCTGGACACGGATGGGCGAACAGTACCTAATTTTGGCGGTACTGTCCCCCCAGTGTTGGCATTTTCTTTGCTGAATCTGACTGACGGTACAGCATGTTGTTTCTGGGAGTAGTTATATGGATGTGTGTGATACAAGCAGTGGACGGCCTCGTTCTGGTAGATGTACGTATGCTTTATTTTAACAGGATTATAGAAATTGTACTAACGTTCTATAAACTCACATTAAAATGATAATGAAATCTTAATTAGGAAAATATGATTGTAACGATGAACAGATATCTACATATTTTACACTCTTTCATTATTTTAAAGATACTTTGTAGACATGGAAACCTATGAGAAGGGGTTGTTTCGACATCACCGGTTACCATTAGTATAAAAACCTAAAAGGAGGGGTTATTTCAACATCACCTGTTACCATTAGTATAAATAAACACCTACAAAGAGGGGTTATTTCGACATCACCGGTTACCATTAGTATAAATAAACACCTACAAGGAGGGGTTATTTCGACATCACCGGTTACCATTAGTATAAAAACCTAAAAGGAAGGGTTATTTCGACATACTTGTTACCATTAGTATAAAGACCTATGAGGAGGGGTTATTTCGACATCACCGGTTACCATTAGTATAAAAACCTAAAAGAAGGGTTATTTCGACAGTTCCCTGTTTATAATAGTATAACACTTTTTAAGAATAGGCAATTACGTCAGTGCCCAGCTCGCTAAAGCGATAAGAAAAAAAAAAGGTTTTGTTCAATTGTCGAATTTCCATATACATATTCTAAGGGTACAACGTCGAACTGTTTAAATCAAATTCCTGTGCGGACTATTCAGTTCATTGTCATTGTTGACTTATAATATGACAATGAGCTGAAACAAACTAAATTCCGAAGTGATTATTCGTAGAACATCACACTGGAATGTGGAGCGTCCAACTGGACTCTGCTGGACACCTGGTGTCTCAGAAGTTTTGATCATCCGTCAACGTGGATACAGGCAAATGGCGTTTGTAGAAGGTAAACAACATAACAATTGCAATTATGGTGGTGGTGGGGAAGAGTGTGAAAATGGGACGTAGCAAGTGGTAGAGGATAGGACGTGGTGGTGATAGATTTGAGGTGTTGGTAAGTGGTAGGTTATGAGACGTGCTTGTGGTATGAAATGGGACATAGAGGTCAGTAGTAAGGGATGGAACATGGTGGTGATAGGAAATAGGACGTGGTAGTGATAGGAGATATGACTTGGTGATAGGAGGTAGGACGTGGTGGTGATAGGAAATAGGACGTGGTAGTGATAGGAGATATGACTTGGTGATAGGAGGTAGGACGTGGTGGTGATAGGAGACAGGACGTGGTGGTGATAGGATATAGGGCGTGGTGGTGATAGGAGGTAGGACGTGGTGGTGATAGGAGATTGGGCGTGGTGGTAATTGGTAGGGACATTGAAGTAGTGGAGGGATATGAAATAGAACGTGATGGTATGATGTGGTGGGTGGGATAATCGATGGGGGTGTAAGTAAGTGAAAGGGGCTGGGACGTGTTGGTAAATGGTAGAGTATAGGACGTGGTGGCGGGATAGGAAATGGGACGTGTTTGTACGTGGTTAGGTTGGAACTTGGTAGTGGTATAGGAGACAAAACATGGTGGTAAGTGATGGGGGCGGAACCAGGTAGTGCGTAGAGGAAGAGACATCATGGCATGTAGGATGGGATAGGACATATTGATATGTGGAAGGAGATTTGGTGGAAAGATAGTGTGTTACTTCTTATGACAGAGAATGTTAACAATCTAATTCGCTAAAAGTGTTGATTACTTATTACGTTAAGGATATTTTTCAGTTTTATACGTGTGCATGTCATTTCTTTCCAAATGCCCTACGTTTTATCTTTACCTCAATTAAGTTTCGGTCATTATGTTTGTTTCCAGCTACCAGACAAATCTAGTAGTTGTTACTGATCGCCAGCAGAATAATGACGTCACCGATCTTGTCCGCACTGTGCCTGGCCAGTATTGGATTGGTTTGTTTAATATTTACTAAGTACATACTTGGAATATTTAGATTTCTGTATATTTGAAATAATAAAACAATATTCATTATGTTTATGCTCCCCGGTGGGAGAGGATATAGTCGCCGCTTTGTCCGTCCGTTCATTTGTCCATTTGTACGTCCGTCATAATTTTGTCTGGAGCATAACATAGAAACATTAAGAGGTATCAACAGAAAACTTCATAAACAGATAGATCTCGACAAGGAGAAGTGCAGCGCACAAGAACCATAACTCTGTTTTGCATAATTTAGGAGTTATTTCCCTTTGTTATTTTTCGTACTTAAATTTTGTTCGGAACATTACACTAAAACTATAAGAGGTATCAACATGAAACTCCATAGGCAGATAGATCTCACCAAGGAAATGTGCTGTGCACAAGAATCAGAAGTGTAATATTGTCCTTTGTTATTTTTTGTACTTACATTTTGTCCCTTTCGGGGACCAGTTTCTGACGGCCCTTGTTAGATGGTGTTTTCATAGCATCGCTGTCCTTTAATGACGTGTTATTGTATTTTCTTTGAGGAATATCAATATCAATATTGTCTAATTCTTTGTCGCTGTATTCATATTGTCTTATTCTTTGTCGACGTATTCATATTGTCTTATTCTTTGTCACTGTATTCATATTGTCTTATTCTTTGTCACTGTATTCATATTGTCTAATTCTTTGTCGCTGTATTCATATTGTCTAATTCTTTGTCGACGTATTCATATTGTCTAATTCTTTGTCGCTGTATTCATATTGTCTTATTCTTTGTCACTGTATTCATATTGTCTAATTCTTTGTCACTGTATTCATATTGTCTAATTCTTTGTCGACGTATTCATATTGTCTAATTCTTTGTCGCTGTATTCATATTGTCTAATTCTTTGTCGCTGTATTCATATTGTCTAATTCTTTGTCGCTGTATTCATATTGTCTAATTCTTTGTCACTGTATTCATATTGTCTAATTCTTTGTCACTGTATTCATATTGTCTAATTCTTTGTCACTGTATTCATATTGTCTAATTCTTTGTCAAATTCTTTGTCGACGTATTCATATTGTCTAATTCTTTGACGTTGTATTCATATTGTCTTATTCTTTGACGTTGTATTCATATTGTCTAATTCTTTGTCGCTGTATTCATATTGTCTTATTCTTTGTCGTTGTATTCATATTGTCTAATTCTTTGTCGTTGTATTCATATTGTCTAATTCTTTGTCGACGTATTCATATTGTCTAATTCTTTGTCACTGTATTCATATTGTCTAATTCTTTGTGTCTGTATTCATATTGTATTCATATTGTCTAATTCTTTGTCGCTGTATTCATATTGTCTAATTCTTTGTCGTTGTATTCATACTGTCTAATTCTGTGTCGACGTATTCATATTGTCTAATTCTTTGTCGCTGTATTCATATTGTCTAATTCTTTGTCGCTGTATTCATATTGTCTAATTCTTTGTCGCTGTATTCATATTGTCTAATTCTTTGTCTTATTCTTTGTCTTATTCTTGTGACGTATTCATATTGTATTCATATTGTGTAATTCTTTGTCGCTGTATTCATATTCTTTGTCTGTATTCATATTGTCTAATTCTTTGTCACTGTATTCATATTGTCTAATTCTTTGTCACTGTATTCATATTGTCTTATTCTTTGTCACTGTATTCATATTGTCTAATTCTTTGTCGCTGTATTCATATTGTCTTATTCTGTGTCGACGTATTCATATTGTCTTATTCTTTGTCACTGTATTCATATTGTCTAATTCTTTGTCGCTGTATTCATATTGTCTAATTCTTTGTCGCTGTATTCATATTGTCTTATTCTTTGTCGCTGTATTCATATTGTCTAATTCTTTGTCGCTGTATTCATATTGTCTTATTCTGTGTCGACGTATTCATATTGTCTAATTCTTTGTCGCTGTATTCATATTGTCTAATTCTTTGTCGCTGTATTCATATTGTCTAATTCTTTGTCGTTGTATTCATATTGTCTAATTCTTTGTCGCTGTATTCATATTGTCTAATTCTTTGTCGCTGTATTCATATTGTCTAATTCTTTGACGTTGTATTCATATTGTCTTATTCTTTGTCACTGTATTCATATTGTCTTATTCTTTGTCACTGTATTCATATTGTCTATTCTTTTGTCACTGTATTCATATTGTCTATATTCTTTGTCGCTGTATTCATATTGTCTTATTCTGTGTCTGTATTCATATTGTTTAATTTTTGTCGCTGTATTCATATTGTCTAATTCTTTTCTGTTCTTCATATTGTCTGCGTTTTAAATTCTTTGATTTTATTTTTGATTAGTTTAGATTATACACAGTTAAACACAGCTAAATATAGATTATACACAGTTAAATACAGCTAAATATAGATTATACACAGTTAAACACAGCTAAATATAGATTATACAGTTAAACACAGCTTAATATAGATTATACACAGTTAAACACAGCTAAATATAGATTATACACAGTTAAATACAGCTAAATATAGATTATACACAGTTAAATACAGCTAAATATAGATTATACACAGTTAAATACAGCTTAATATAGATTATACACAGTTAAATACAGCTAAATATAGATTATACACAGTTAAACACAGCTAAATATAGATTATACACAGTTAAACACAGCTAAATATAGATTATACACAGTTAAACACAGCTAAATATAGATTATACACAGTTAAACACAGCTTAATATAGATTATACACAGTTAAACACAGCTAAATATAGATTATACACAGTTAAACACAGCTAAATATAGATTATACACAGTTAAACACAACTAAATATAGATTATACACAGTTAAATACAGCTAAATATAGATTATACACAGTTAAATACAGCTTAATATAGATTATACACAGTTAAACACAGCCAAATATAGTTTATACACAGTTAAACACTGTTAATTTATATGATACACAGTTAAACATCGTTTTATAGAAGTACAGAGGTGCTCCCACACCGATACGTCGTTAAACACATTAAACAGATGGAAAGGTGCTTATACAAACAACAACAAATACCAACATGTCAACATGGACATAATCCAGACTCAAATTCAATAAAACTAGAGCAAAATAGGAACACAGAAAGATTTACATGGAGACTCCTGAAAGGCACAAGGAGAATAAGACCAGGTGTTCTGTTTCAAGACGATAGCCACTATGTAATTTATGGTCAGTCCAAGTCATGTCACGTTCTCAAACGAGAACAAGTTTTACAACAACGAAACCAACAGGCAAAACAACGTCCAGGTTTAAATCTAACACCGACACACAGTTAGATACCAATGGACATGTGCTCGTGAACCATAATTCATTTTAACTTTTCAATATTTGTATCTATATTTCAGGTTTAACCTTATTGCAAAATCTGACCGGTGAAACTTGGGCATCAGAAACAGAAATTGCATCTCAGCTACTTGCCGATGTACCATCAACTAATGGACTGATCGCAAAATGGTCAAGTGGCGAAAACGGGACAATACTGCAGGGATACTGGGATGTAAATGAGCCCGACCTCCGCCGCGGCGGCTGTGTATATCTGAGTGATTCAGGCCGGTGGGCGGTGGGAAACTGTGACCAAAGGAGGGGCTTTATATGTCAGTATGCAGCCTGTCCTCGAGGTATGTAGGTCTCGCTTTTCTAAGAAATCTCCATTTTTTTAAAAAATTTACGTCTCAAGTTGTTTTTGCGTCCTACACATTTGTCTGATCTCTAGGTAGCTTCAGATGTAACAATGGCGTGTGCATCAATAGCCAGAAGAGGTGTGATGGACAAGATGACTGCGGCGACGATTCAGACGAAATATCTTGTCGTAAGTTATTAAAATTAATCTTCTCTGTGGAAATATACACTCTATTGGTGATTTGTATAATGTAAATATTTATTTATATATCTGTAGATGTTAGTCCAGGTCGTCTTACTAGTCTCGGCTAGTGGGAATTTTCCATTACACGAGCGGTAGAGTGTACGGCTAGAGACCGAAGGGTCGCTAGTTCGAAGCCCAGCAGTGGCACGGTAGGGGTAAACCCCGAAAAGGAGTAGTAAAGGCGTCTATAACTATTCCTTTCGTCATTTCTACTTCTTTTTGGCGAAATTACAAAGTATTGAATTAAGTATTAAAATCTACATTGTCTCTTAATCCGACCAAATAAGAATGTCTTGTGTCAACTCTGAGTGTAAAGGCATTTACCTAACTGAAAACACCAAGACTTTGATAAATCATAGTGGTAACCATTTTACTGAATGTTCATACTCTTTATCAAAAAATTTGAATTTTGTCCTGTCTGCTTCTTCTTGCATAATACAGCATTTGCTCATATAGAATGAACACAGGGAGAACTTTTTTGTAAAACTGATCAGATACAATAAAATGGAGCACAGCAGAAAATTATTTTATATGAATCATAAAATGTTTTTGAATATTCCTAGTGAACTTCTAATATGTTGTCTGCCACTGTTTTACACACTTCCCTCTATATCAGCTGACCAGTGTCATTTCCATGTGATGAGTAACCAGGGACAGCTGTCTTCACCCGGGTATCCTGGACAATATCCTAACAATACACAGTGTTCATGGCTGATTGAAGGACCTCCATGTAGCGTTGTCAAAGTGCAGGTACTTGACCTGATGTGAAATCAGTTGAATTATATGTCTTTAAAAAAAAGCAATTTGTTGTTCTAAAAAAATGTTAATGGAAATCAGTTATGGTCAATAAACCCAAATGTTTTTATATTTCAGTTTTCAAAAATAGAAACGGAGCCAGATTTTGATGAAGTGAGAGTACTTGTTGGTGGGAGAACTGTTTCAATGTCGGAATATGTGGACAGATATTCAGGAAACTTAACAGATGTTCAGGTGATAAGTCCCAATAATCTGCTCATCATCAAGTTCAGCTCTGACCACTCCAACTCATTCAATGGCTTTACAGCTCAGTGGGAAGTAGGTAAGATTACTAATTAATAAATTACAGGTAAACAAGTTTCAACTGGTATCACTTATAGATAACAGACGACTGAGAAATAGAGAACTAAAGCCATCTTAAGTAAGGTATCATTTTGTCCTTTTCATTCCACTTCAGAAGTCAGAAAAAAGTCAACAAAGAAGTATAGATCATTAGAACATTTTACAAAGGATCAGAACAACCACAGACTTCGTCCACATTTAGGATCAGAACAACCACAGACATAGTCCACATTTAGGATCAGAACAACCACAGACTTAGTCCACATTTAGGATCAGAATAACCACAGGCTTAGTCCACATTTAGGATCAGAACAACCACAGACTTCGTCCACATTTAGGATCAGAATAACCACAGGCTTAGTCCACATTTAGGATCAGAACAACCACAGACTTCGTCCACATTTAGGATCAGAACAACCACAGACTTAGTCCACATTTAGGATCAGAACAACCACAGACTTCGTCCACATTTAGGATCAGAACAACCACAGACTTAGTCCACATTTAGGATCAGAACAACCACAGACTTAGTCCACATTTAGGATCAGAACAACCACAGACTTAGTCCACATTTAGGATCAGAACAACCACAGACTTAGTCCACATTTAGGATCAGAACAACCACAGACTTAGTCCACATTTAGGATCAGAACAACCACAGACTTAGTCCACATTTAGGATCAGAACAACTACAGACTTAGTCCACATTTAGGATCAGAACAACCACAGACTTCGTCCACATTTAGGATCAGAACAACCACAGACTTAGTCCACATTTAGGATCAGAACAACCACAGACTTAGTCCACATTTAGGATCAGAACAACCACAGACTTAGTCCACATTTAGGATCAGAACAACCACAGACTTAGTCCACATTTAGGATCAGAACAACCACAGACTTAGTCCACATTTAGGATCAGAACAACTACAGACTTAGTCCACATTTAGGATCAGAACAACCACAGACTTCATCCACATTTAGGATCAGAACAACCACAGACTTAGTCCACATTTAGGATCAGAACAACCACAGACTTAGTCCACATTTAGGATCAGAACAACCACAGACTTAGTCCACATTTAGGATCAGAACAACCACAGACTTAGTCCACATTTAGGATCAGAATAACAACAGACTTAGTCTGTTGGTATAACATCAACAGCTCAGTTAGGTAACTGACTTTAAACTTTAGATCAATTTCACTTTTTGATAATCCTGAAATACTTAATCATTTGAATGCTTCTTCATAAATATTAGATACGTCTGGATTCTGGCATCACCACTTGGTGTAAATCACAGATGCATGTGTATGTAGTTTGTTTCCAGTAAATGGTTGATTATAAAAAGTCACCAACTGATGATTCTTATCAGTTGTCCTTGAGAAAATTACAGGTTGATTTTCCGAGGAATTACATGTCTATTTATTGACCCACATCTCAATATTAGCCAGGCCTGAAGCAAGATTTTGTGCCAATTCAATGGAATCATTATCACATGTACCAAAGAGAGAGGTGTCATCTGCAAGTAATTAAATTTTTGTTGGAAACAAATTCAACAATATCATTTATATATATTAAAAGCAATACCAACCATGAACCGAGTGGACTGCAACACCTACTTGAACAAGGTCAAATGCTGACATATAACCTTCACTTATTTCTCTTATTCTCTGTTATATAAATTGTGTTGAAACCAATTTAAAGAGAAAACCTTTAACTCCATATGATTCTAATTTGTGAAGCATCCATTTTGTCAAACTGTTTTAGAAGCCTTGCTTATGTCTGATATTTTGATCCAGGCAGTCAACAATTGTATGGTAAATCGATAACAATTGATTTACAGTTTACAGGAAACATGTAATATAAAGACGTCCTTAATCTATATACTTCAGTATAATCTATTGTTCTTTATAAAAGTTGTGAAGCTGAGAAGATATAAAATTTGGATCTTGTAACACAACTTGATGTGTTCAAAAGTAAATTTACATCAACATTAATCCAATGAGATGGCTAGGTATTGATGAGTCTGTATGTTCTTTTGTTTCAGTGACACACAATATTCCTGTCACAGGGCTCCCCCTGGTGGCCAATCTGTCCCTGCAGGAAGTCACATCACCATTTTATCCATCATATTACATCAGTGAATTTTTGGAGTGGATCATATCCCCACAGCATGCAAGAAATGTTATTAAGCTTCAGGTAACATATAGCAACCAAATTTTTATGTAATACAAATCCTCAAAATATAACAATTCAAGCTGGTCAACAAAATGTCACACTTAAGTTAACATTTGACCATGGAATGTCATGCTGCAGGTATTATTTAACCATGAAATGTCAGTTTAGCAGAATAACCTGTTACAGGCTGTTCCATCATTATCAGGTTCTGTGCATACGTTTCCCCCTTGAGTTTGAAATGTTTACTTCTGGTATGGAGCACTTAGATTAAATCATTATTGCTCTGTGGAATTTAAGGACACTTTGCAAACTTAATTCTTCCCTGTAAGCAGACTTTCAATCTCAAGGCCTTATTTCACCAAAAGTCTTTACCTTTAGGTTCCATTGATTAATTATTTGATTTGCTTAAGTATCATGAAATTACATATTGGAAACTTTAGTACAGATGCATTAATTGCTAAAAGCATGTTACCTAGGTTACCATTTAGTGCTGTTGTGTAACTTTATTCTGTTGGTCTGATATTAGGTCTTAGACTTGGACTTGGATGAAGGGGACTACGTGATTGTCAGACATAACAATGTATATGGTGAAGTGTTGGCGGTATTCAGCTCTATAGGAGGACCATCCACAGTCATCTCTGTTAATGCATTACATATAACAATGAAGGTGAAGACATCCTACTCCAGACAATATCATCGAGGATTCAGATTTAGTTACACTGAAGGTAAGTTACCTACATAGGACAGGAAAACAGTAGTTACTAGTTTCAAAATAGTTACATAGGGACATAGTAGGTACTGCAATTTTCATTTGCATTTTTTTTATTTGAGAAAAAAAGATTGATCTCCATGAAAATTTCTGATATTACAGTAATGCACTCGAGTTTGCTTGTCTAAATAATTTGTTCAGTCTGTACATGAAATATTATCAACAAGGTAGTTTGCACGACCTACAGCTTCACTTAATAAACATTAAATGTGACTTACAAATGTAACAGTTTAGTATTGCCCCTACAGGTTGTGACGTCATCCTGAATGAAGATATGGGGATGGTGTTTTCCCCAGGATATGGGGTACTCAACTACCCAGCGTACCAGAACTGTTCCTGGACTTTAGTGGCCTCACAGGGCCGACGCCCTACTCTGCTGTTTGATGAAGAATTCCACTTAGAAGACGGATATGACTTTTTACAGGTAAAAATGATTAAGATACAAAATTACAGATTTCAAAATGTATAACATACATCTGATGGTTCTTCTAGTAGCTCTGTTTTGTTCTCTATCTAACATGGGAAATATATGAAAATCAGTTGTGGGCAAATATGTTTCAAAAGTGGTTACAGCTATCCTAGCTGACTCTTACTGATCTATATCTGAATGTGTCGTGGTCAGATCTATGATGGACTGAACGATACAGGAGAACCCCTTCATCCGACTGGTAGTTTAGGACTCACAGGAATTCTGGCACCACCGCCTCTTACGAGTTCTACTAACCAGCTACATATAAACCTTAGGTCTGATTCCCTCCTCCAGTACAAAGGGTACCGGGCACGCTTTTCTATAGGTAAGTATTTGTTTATATTGGTATCAGGTCAATAATTTTTTTCTGCACATTAAAACAACAACTTATTATGATATAATTGTGTACAATATCTTGAATACACTAATAAATCCTGACCAGGTTGTGACTTAGTAAAATGAGTAACAGTTTCATTTCCTAAATTATGTTTCTCATGACAGTAAATGAGATGCCATCATACAGAAACTGATATTAGAATCAACCTTTTTAACACAGATTATCTTCAACATTGTGAACATGTTGCCAGTCTCAAATTCCTGTAAGTATTCTTACTTATGTCAATCAATCGCTTCAACAGGTTGTCCTGATCCCACATTTAACAACAACACAATGGTATCCCCCTCTTCATCATCGTATGAGTTTGGATCATTCCTTAATATCTCCTGTAAGCCTGGGTACACATTTCTGGAGGAAGAATTTCAACACGACAACAACACCAGTAAACAGTATGTGGAGATGAGGTGTTTGTATGGAGGAATCTGGAACGTGATAAACATACCACAATGTCAAGGTAAAACCTGTTTAGGAACCTGTCAGATCAAGGTGGTGTTAACTTTAAAATACTCTCTTCAAGATGACCTAAAATTGATATGCACTGTTACTCCCACAAATGTGCTTTAAGCTCGTAATATTTCTGGTAAAAATATCATTAAGTTCCAAACTGGTAAATAATAGGAGATGAGGTGTAAATGAAATCAGTTTGATTGGATACGGTGTATGTCAACCACACCTGTACCAGTGAACGAAAAGGGAGGACATGACGTCATATAACTGTTAAGGTAATAAAGACATGAGAGATCACATGATCAATGTCATGAACACATAAGTCAAAGTCATGCTCATTAAATGGGTTTCTACAGTAAAATACAAACAATGTACAAGATGAAACAGAACTACTACAATAAAACTTATTACCTTGTGCAGCCAGGTATTGTGGGCCACCACCTGCTGTAAAGAGTGGCTACCTTTTGCATGGTGAGGGAGTTCAGTATGGCTCGTCTGTGACCTACAGCTGTGAAGACGGTCATATTCCGACTGGTAATGTGACTGTAGTCTGTCAGAAGGATGGCATGTGGGAAACTGTACCGTCCTGTTATGGTGAGTTGTGTAATAATTTGTAGCATTTAAAAAGCAATAAGAATCACAATCATTTATTGCATGTGAAGGACAGTATGTTAGCGATTGACACCTGATTTTGGTTTCATCCTGACCTGGTTACTCATTAAAAAGGAATAAAAAAAAACCTCATGACTAATTAAGATCATTTTTCCATCAAATGACTTCTCAATTTCTTTTCCAGCGGTGAATTGTTCCTTGCCAGCGATTGTACCAAATGCCACCTCAGTCCTAGAAAGCGGTTCTGGATGGGACTTTGGGAGTCGTGTGGTTTACACGTGTGATGCAGGGTTCCAGCTGTTGGGAAGTGCTATTCTCTTCTGTCTTTCTAATGGCACCTGGAATGAAGAGGCACCTTCTTGTGAACGTAATTTTTTAGCCATCTTAAATGGCAGTATTATGATTATGATGTTGTGTAGATCTGCCATTCCAAATGTTACTTTTATGTTAAGTCAGTGTACATGTTCTATACAATAAACTGTTCTGTTCTGGTATTTTATTTATACAATATCTCTTAACGTTAGTATTTGTTGATGATACAGATCTAAAAGTAGGGAGGTTTTGTTTGTCCTTGTATAAATGTAGAAGAGTTCTGGGAATATGACCAATTTAAGGGGTTTGTTTTTATGAAGGTTCTGTTATTTTAAGGGTTGTGAAAAATGGATGCTTTTGACCAGAGTTCAATATGACAATATGGACATTCACTTACAGATTTTACAATCTCACTCTCTAGAAATATGAATAAACCTATTTTTCTCTCATTGTTAGGTGTGTCTTGTCCGGTACCAGAGATAGAGCATGGCAAGGTAGATACACCAGGGCTCCGTATGCTTTATAAGGATACTGCTACACTGACTTGTGATGCTGGGTTCTTGATCATTGGTACATCTACAGTAACATGTCATGCAAACCAGACCTTTGGTAGCCTTCCCTCTTGTGAAGGTAAAAACATCTCATGTAGTTAACTAGAACTTGGGTGAATCTTTCGTTTGTTGAGAGTAAAAATTCAACAGTGTTAACTAGAGCATTAGGGAAGCTTTTGATTCGTGAATTAAAAGACAAAAGCCAAACCAGATCAAAGATTATCAATTATTTTATAGATAAAAAGACAGATCACTTATCAAACAAGACATAATGAGCAGACTTCAAGAAATAGTCAATCTGGAGGGAAAAGCTGATGTTACAACCTTTATCATCAAATGTATCATGTGTCAAACTAGAAGTTATCGAAGCTTGATAAGATATACATATATATATATATATATATATATATATATATATATATATATATATGTATATACATATGTGTGTCAGAAGTTCAGCCAGATGTATACGCTTTGTTTTTTATGCTTAAAGTTGCTGGTTTTGATTGATCAGTCATATAAAGCATGGTTGTTTCACAGATGTGGACGAGTGTGAGAATGACACAACCTGTGATGAAATCAGTCAGAACTGTATAAATACAATGGGGTCCTACATGTGTCACTGTAAAGCTGGATATCAGGAAAATGGAACATTCTGTCAGGGTAGGTGTTCTCTACAGATCAGGAAAATGGAACATTCTGTCAGGGTAGGTGTTCTCTACAGATCAGGAAAATGGAACATTCTGTCAGGGTAGGTGTTCTCTACAGATCAGGAAAATGGAACATTCTGTCAGGGTAGGTGTTCTCTACAGATCAGGAAAATGGAACATTCTGTCTGGGTAGGTGTTCTCTACAGATCAGGAAAATGGACCAAGCTGTCAGGGTAGGTGTTCTGTACAGATCAGGAAAATGGAACATTCTGTCAGGGTAGGTGTTCTCTACATATCAGGAAAATGGAACATTCTGTCAGGGTAGGTGTTCTCTACAGATCAGGAAAATGGAACATTCTGTCAGGGTAGGTGTTCTCTACAGATCAGGAAAATGGAACATTCTGTCAGGGTAGGTGTTCTGTACAGATCAGGAAAATGGACCAAGCTGTCAGGGTAGGTGTTCTCTACATATCTGGAAAATGGACCAAGCTGTCAGGGTAGGTGTTCTCTACATATCTGGAAAATGGACCAATCTGTTAGGGTAGGTGTTCTCAACAGATCAGGAAAATGGAACATTCTGTCAGGGTAGGTGTTCTCTACATATCTGGAAAATGGACCAAGCTGTCAGGGTAGGTGTTCTCCAGATATCTGGAAAATGGACCAAGCTGTCAGGGTAGGTGTTCTCTAGATATCTGAAAAATGGACCAATCTGTCAGGGTAGGTGTTCTCCAGATATCTGAAAAACGGACCACATGGTCAGGATAGGTGATAACCAAATATCTTGGAAATGACACATACTGTACATGCATATAATGCTGTGAAATGATATCTTGTTTATCATACCAACAGAAATAGTTGTTTCTTGTGTACTGTTCGCAATATTTTTAGGCAAATTGAAAATAAGAGTTGACTTGTTGTTTCATTTAAAAACTATATTTTCCTTATCTTTTTAAGATATTGATGAGTGTGCCACTAATAGCAGCAATTGCAGCCAGGATTGTGAGAACTTTGCTGGAGGATACCAGTGTATTTGTAACCTGGGGTATGAGTTATACACTGCCAATGGTACACAGGGGTACTTCATACCTATAGAGGAAACTGGAACCCTTGCTGGGGACCGTTACCATCTCAATCACACATGTGTTTGTAAGTCTGTCATCTCTATCATGCAGGTGTTAGTATTTAAAATAATTTCCTTTTTATAGCAGTTGTGACCTATATTTAACACCTCTACATCTGACTACAGCTGTGACCTTCATTAAACACTTTAACATTTGATGACAGTTGTGACCTATATTTAGAACATTTTCCGCTATGTATCATCTCTATTTTTCTAAACAGCTGTTACCTGTGTGTTACCCCCGACCCCACAGGATGGCTTCATCATGAACAGACAATTGTCATATCACTTTGGTGACACCCTAATTTACAGGTGTAACCTGAGGTTTGTCCTCAATGATAGTCATACTATCCAGTGTGAGTCGACTGGCTTTTGGAACTATGACTTTCCCTTATGTACAGGTGAGTTTGGATGTAACAATGTGTTAATGGTTATACAATCTTTTATATTTTAAAGATTTTTTAAAGAGTTGATATATCCACAAAGTCATTATTAGCAGACATGTTTAGTATCCTGTAAACCATTACATATGATATATCTATAATGAATTTTCCTATTTCAGTGGCTACTTGCCCTTCTGATGGGCCCAACATGTGGGTCAATGCTTCTGTGCCAGCCACAGTCATCTTCCCAAGTGTGATGCGATACCTAGATGTTGTCAGTCTCATCTGTGATGTTCCTGGCATGGAGACTTTTAATAAGACAAGGCAATGTCTGTATGATCAGCCTACTGATACATACAGACTAATAGGGGATTCTTACGAATGTGGAGGTAAATATTAACTAGAAGATGTGTCGCATATGTTGGTGCTCTTCAACATATTGATGATATTAACAAACAGGGCAATAACTCTGACCACTAGCTAAAACCTTTTTTTTCTGGTAACACAGACCTTGACCAGTTTAGCTGGCATATTGATGTTAACAAGAACATAAAACCAGTGATCAGTCTTATGTGTTTCATGAGAAACTTGTCTTGGTGGTAGCATACCTACTGCCCTATATACCCTTTTTATTTTGTTATTCAAGGGCTTGCTCCAGTTACTTTCCATGTGATCAATTTTTACATTCTAACATGTACAAAACAATGTTTTAGGAGAAACAGATGAACAAAGCTTGTTTTATACTCACCACTTTGATCCAGTGAGAGTATTTCATGTCCTTGTATACTATGAGCTCACAAAGTACTTGTTAGTTGGTTGGTTTGTTGGCACTGCCCAGCTCAGCCGAAAATGCTTCATGACTTCAGTGGCGGTTATATCAGTAAAAGGCACTTTTGATTGAACTGCACTTGTTGCTATTATCAGAGTACAATTTCTCCATTTAAAGCCTTCTTTTGTTCAAAGTTTGTGGCCATTGATTTCAGGATATATTTTATGATTTGGATATAATGATTATTTTTGGAAAACTGACGAACATTTTTGAGAGAATCAGAAAATGTGACTCTTGAAGCACTTTTCTGAAGCCAAAATCAAGTAGGATGTAGTAACATTTGAATTTCGTGTTTATTTTTCAGAAATAAATTGCAGAGTTCCTTATAACTTACCGAATGGAAAAGTAGAGCTTGTGACAGGCACGACCTTCGGCAGTGCCTTCAACATCACCTGTGATGCTCTGTATTATCTCCATGGCAACAGTAGTGAAGGAGACAAAACAGTCAGGTGTGGTTCTGATGGCTACTGGGACTATGGAAGTCTGGTTTGCTTACGTAAGTTGGATTTTATTACATAAGGAGAAATTGATTTCTGATATTCATATGGATGAAAACATAAACTTGTTTGTTTACACACAGGAAAAGCGTCTGTTGATTTGCTTTTATCTGAATGATGATAACCTTGTTATGACTGCTATTCACAGACTTCCAAAGTTGTATTTGTTGTTTGTTTTACTCCATTTGAAAAAAAACCCACAAAATTTAAAGATGGATGTAAATGTTCACCCCTGAAGCTGTCAAACACCCTGGATGTAAATGTTCAAGTACTTTAGATGAGATTATAGAAATAACATGATCATATTTGAAATTCTTTTTGAATTGACCTGAATGGCTGAATTAGCCAGTTGTCTTGTTATCATTACTGACACAATTAGTATGACTCTCTGTGTAGCTGTCAGGTGTCCAGATCCAGGAAGACCACGAGGAGGATCATTTGTAGGGACAGACTTTTCTCTGGGAGGGACAGTGCAATTTTATTGTGATGATCCAGAGCTGGAGGTGGTTGGCAACTCACAGCTGGAGTGTGTGTCAGCACCAGATAACTCATCATTGATATGGAACAGTACCCTTCCAATATGTAAAGGTAGCTTAAAAATATCTGTTGCCAACAGTGATATATTGTGTAGCAATACCTGGTTATTAAAAGAAATTACAGAACACATCTGATGCCCTGACACAACATGTTGTTCCATCATGCTTTACAGTGATGACTACAGTATTACATTTAACTGTAACAATGTCATATCACTGTTGTAGTTATTTTTAATATTCTTCTTATGAACCTACACTGGCTGGTAAAATTTGAGGATGAAAGGTATTATGGCTTATATGTTCCTAGAATGCAGCCCGACAAAGTTTGTGAAAAGAAATTACCTTGACTTACATTCAAAGTCACAGGGGTCAAATTTGTTAAAATCTTTAAACTTTTCTCTTGAAGTCTTTTTGCTGAATTCATGTCATTGCATTGTGTTATAGTTGACATTCTGAAGTGAATTAAGTCGGAGCTATAACTTGTCTCTACAGTCTCTTTAACTTTAGATACCAGTAATATTCACTATAATCCTTCTCTTTCCCATTTTCTTGTTTTTTTACTTTCGTTTTAAAAGGGGCATTATATTAGCCTTAAAGATTTATTGTGAAATATTTAGGATATCGTTGTAATGATGCCAAACCTTTTGTTTCAGATGTCATCCGACCGACCATTACAGGATGTCCAGTGGACAGTGTGATTGTCAATAAGTATTCGTCACCAATGATTTCTGTGCCTGTAGCAAATGACAACATAGCATTGGCTAACTACACTGTGTCTCCTGTTTACTTTAATCCTAGTGATCCAACAGTGGAGAACCTGACCATAGTTTACACTGCTACAGACTTCTCGGGGAACATGGAGGAGTGCAGGATCACTATCCTTGTACTGGGTAGGAATTGTTCAGAATATAAGTGTGTAATTCTTCAATGTGCAGCAGTAAGACAGCAAGGTTTTAAAGCACGGATAGTTCTTATAAAAATTAAAACATAGTTTGTCAATAAAAAAAAGTTTGATTTTAAAGCATGACAGCAAATTTAATTCATGTTAACGAACAGGACTAGTGTTGATGAGTTGTTGATGTTATAGTCGGTCATCGAGTGGTTCTTCTTAATTTAGGTCTATGAAAATATCTGTGAGTATTTTTTATCAATCAGAACATATAGAATATTCCTACAACAAAACAACAAACTCCCATATAAGGTATGTTCAAATTTGTACATTTCAGATGAGAGCCTTCCAACAATTCAATGTCCTGAATCCTTCACTGTCTACCTAACAGACGAAGATCATCCCTACAATCTCTCCATCTCTTCGGCAAATTTCTCTGTATCATCCTCCTCCTCATGGACACTGGACTTTGGACCGCAACAAGTGCCTGTATCTGCTGAGACCCTAGATAAGACTTTTACTGTATATGGCAACATCACAGACACTTGGGGAAATTCTGATACCTGCTGGTTTCAAGTGAAAGTAAAAGGTGACATAAAGATATGATTTAAACATAAATGTTTGGTGTCTTTGTCAGGAAGCTATTAGAAAGGTTTATGGTAGTAAATACAATTTATATAGAACAAATATGTGTACTGGGCATATACAATATCCATCACATTTTTTCACAATCAAATGGAAATATTTGATGATTTGGTGATTTGACAACCAAATATTTATTAGAAACGTAAAAAACTGTCACCACAATGTACCGTCTCTTATCAATGTCATTGAAATTCAGGAGATCACAGGTACTTAATGTGATTTTCTTGTTTATTGTACAAATTATGTTTTATGTTACAAAAATAAACAAGATAATATCAACATGTTGACATATTCATAATCCAAGTCCAGATTCAATGGAATTAGGGCAAAATAAGAACAAAAGAAAGATTTGCACCGATGACACTCGCCATGTAAATCTTGGTCAATCCAAGTAAGTAATGTCACGTTTAAAACAAGATATACAACAACGGAACCAACAGGCAAACTCACAAACAAAATATCTCTCAATGAGATCACTATGAAAATCATACAACTTCCTCGTGTTTTTCCATTAACATGTATCTTTTGAAACCTTGTATCACAAATTTGTCAGTTGAATACATCTTGCACGAAAAAAGCCTTAATGAGAACAGGTCTTGGGGATGCAGGAATGTTGTCACCAGAAATGGAATATTTACAATTGAAAAATTGAAATCATCAGGCTTATCATACAGCTTGGTGAAGAGTTGTCCATGTTGGTTTTGTCCTAGGAAAAGATCGAGATTGATGCAGAACAATCCGTCATGTCTTTAATTTCCAATTTTGTGTATATTGGTGCTATATAGATGTGGTCAATATTTTCTTGTTATCTGAAGACAAGACGTCATCAGTTTATCTGAAAGTAAAAGTAAATGACTTTGGATGTCTTGTGTAGTATTAATCCTGTAACTACAGTGCGAGGATTTATTTGCATCTCGTATGTTTAAACTGATCACTTTTTCATGGAAATTTTCATATGTTCCAATCTTACAGACATCTGCCATCCTTCCACACTAACAAGTCCGATTAATGGTCAGTTAAATTGTTCGGCCACTCCGGACAAAAAGGGATATCGATGTGAGGCAACATGTAATCAAGATTATTACTTCTACGAGGACTTCTCTCCAAACTATGATGTGTTCATCACCGAATGTACTGTAGGTGGTAACTGGACATCGTCACATGTTCCATCTTGTGTCTGTAAGTTGATGTGTTATATTGGATGATATTGTCCTTACAGGTCCCATAATTTGACTAAAAAATTATGTGATGTGTGTAATGATACAGAAGGCAATTAATGGTTAGTCTTGAAAAAGTGTTTGCTGGAATAGAAGTATGGCAATTCTTTATATACCAAGGATATATTGACATAATCTTCTTGCCATTTTGTATTGCTTTTCTTTAAAATAAAAAAAAGATAGATATGTTTTGTAAAACAGTCTGTGCTGTTCCAAAAGATAACTGTGCTTTTGGTTTAACAGCTTCATCACAAACCTCCTTTAGACAAGTTCAGCGCCTGGTTTATCAGCCGATCAGCAATGCTAGTGTAATATCAGAGGATTGTATGGGTCATTACATAACCAGCATCCAGCAGACCTACCCGACAGTCTCGGAGAGGGTCAGCAATGTTTGTGTGTTGCTCGGTGAGATCAGCATTGTCACCATTACTTCTGGACAGTTCAGCAACATCATAAACAACTCGGTAAGGAGAATGACCAAAGTTAATGTTTTTCTCTACAATTAACTAATATCACCCTGCCTAAGTTCGACTCCATGATACTTCCCTGAAGTGTTTATATTGTGCTGAAGTTTATCACTACCTACCTTAAGTACACTGTGTAGCCAAAAAGTGATGTTTCCACCAAAGTTGATATACCTTCCTTGTGTGTATGTTTTCCCACAGTTTACTGCTACCTATTATATACATTGAGTGAACACTTAGTGACCAAAGTTTAAGTTTTTCCTATGGTATTTTGGTACCTGCCTTGAGTGTGAACACTTAGTGACCAAAGTTTAAGTTTTTCCTATGGTATTTTGGTACCTGCCTTGAGTGTGAACCTCACATGACCAAAGTTTATGCTTGCTATCAGTTTATTGATACTTTCCTTAAGTGTGAACCATGTGTGAAAGAAGGTTATTTTTTCCCTGCAGTTTACTGGTACCTACACGCTTGAGTTCGACCCTCGGACTGTAGATGCCTCACACGATTGTGTACAAGCTACCTCTTTGATTTTCACCAAAACAACATTAGTTATGGAAGAAATGAAGAATATCTTCGGAATCACAGATTGCCCCAACATCACTGCAGAGCATGAAACCCAAGTCACTAATGAACAGATGTGTGATGACAGCACGAAAACACGTGATCAAGCAGGCACTCGGGTCTGCTGTAGGTTACTGCATATTAAAACATTCTGAAATACCCTAGATATAAAAAATTGACAAATTGATAAACATATCCTAACAAGACCATACTAATGGCCGTTAATTGATGTTAAATGGTGAAAGATATTTCTGTTGCTTTTTAGTGGTATGCCCACCAGGAACTTTCAAGAATGATGTAAATGAGTGTGAGTTATGCCCCTTTGGTACATACAATGAAGAACAGGGAATGACATCTTGTAGCAGCTGTCCACTTGGTACATGGACAGAGAAGGGAGGCAACTCTAATGCTTCAGATTGCAAAGGTAGGAAACAAAATGCTACAACTATTTTACAGTATGGATTACTGACAGAATCGTAAACAGGACTTTCTTAGACAAACTGCTAGCATTGTTTTGTGCTGAAAGAAAATTTCCCAGGTAAATTTGATTTTACCTCTGTCATGTCTGACTATTGCCAGATTATCTTGAATCAATGTTACTTCTGCAAGCATTATCAATCCTACATGAAAAAAAACGAACATGTTAGCAGAAAACATTTGTCATACTTAAGGTCAACACGACCTATGTAAATAGAATATATTGACATAAGTGATCAGGTAATTTCACTTTGAATTAAAGTGATAGAAAAGTAATTGTTTGTCAGTACAGTACATCTTAAGAAAGGATGGGTCATAGAATGACTAGTTTGTGTTGTAGAGGTCTGCAGAAACGGTTTATACTCCAGCACCAGATTACCTCCCTGTGGTCAGTGTCAGGACAATTCCTATCCTGTGTCCAGTCATGAATGTCAGGCCTGTCCCTTAAATACAAAGTACATTGGAACAGCAGCTTACTTGAGGACAACCTGCCTCAAAGGTAGGACACCAGTGAACTGTGCAGCCTCTTACACCAATTATCTGATACCATAGAAACAAATATACTTATGGTGTAATTTTATGAAAGTTACTCAACAAATTAACTATATAATATCATACAACTGTAAGGTTCTTTATAAATTGATCGTAAAAGATAAAAAAAATGTAGTTTTTGTTATTTATGAATATTTTCTCATTTTCTGTGCTATCTACATTTACCTGATGAAAACTTAAAAGCAATGCACATGTGCAGTTAAGTTCTAATGTACATGGTCAGATTTCACCAGTGTACATGGTCAGATTTCACCAGTGTAGATGGTCAGATTTCACCAGTGTACATGGTCAGATTTCACCAGTGTACATGGTCAGATTTCACCAGTGTACATGGTCAGATTTCACCAGTGTACATGGTCAGATTTCACCAGTGTACATGGTCAGATTTCACCAGTGTACATGGTCAGATTTCACCAGTGTACATGGTCAGATTTCACCAGTGTACATGGTCAGATTTCATCAGATTTCACCAGTGTACATGGTCAGATTTCACCAGTGTACATGGTCAGATTTCACCAGTGTACATGGTCAGATTTCACCAGTGTACATGGTCAGATTTCACCAGTGTAGTTGTCAGGTTAGAGAGAAGTCTTCTAACAATAGAACCAATACGGGGATTCAGTTAAAACATTGCAGTAGATGGTTACACCTGCCATCACTGAATCATCAACTGGCTTTCATATACAGGTTAGATTATCATTATAAAAAGTTATGGGGTCTTATTGTCTACCTCCAGGTATTGATTGATAATTTTGTCAATTAAAATTTGTTTTCAACTTTCTTCAAGCAGTAGGGATTATACTGAAATCTTCTTGATTGCTAGTTTGTTTTCCCTTTAAATATCCAATATGGAGGTTGAGTAATAAACCATGTCTTTATATATATTTACATTGTGGTTGTCCTCAATGAAGTAACGCAGCATGTTTCCCCTTCCAGAACAGTTCCGCCTGGTTTTCTTGCATCATTTCATTGTTCTCCATGAGTAGCTTTGCCTCGCCTTGTTATATTGATCTGGAGTTAGAACTTTCGTTTTGCTGTGTGGAGACAATCTCTCAAACAACATAAACATAAGATATACTTAGTTTAGAGTAACATTTTGGCAACGTTTGATGTTCCAGGACCTTGCCAGTACAACAAAACCTCAGGTGTGTTAGATATCATCTCTGGTCCAACCTCCTCTGGCTCGGTGGGTCAGTGTGAACAGTCTTGTGAGGATCTTGAGGTGATGACCACAGTCAGATGTACGGGCTTCTCTTACAACAATCTGCTCCAGCGGTGTGTGCTCCACCATGGAGATACGGTCAAATTGATGGCCAACTCAACATACGACCATTACCAACGGACTTGTGATAGACTCTCTGACACCGGTAAGTTTGAGATTTGGTTAGTCTGAGTGGAGACAAGGTGAAGTATGACCGAAGCATATCTTGACGTTTTGTTTTTGATATTTACAGTTAACCTGGTATAATGACCATAGTTTCTCTTGACAGACTGTTATTGTGTCTCACCATGCCTCCCTGGAAACAGGTCACTTGATGGATTCTGGCCTTGTACAGAATGCCCAATGCACTACTTCTCAGATCGTAACCAGTCAATGACCTGCGAAGAGTGTCCCCCAGGAACAGTGACATTAGCAACTGGGGCAACAAGTAACTCCAGCTGTGTGGATGCAGGTTAGGACATTATACAAGTTTTGCTGATGTCAACAAAATTTTCTTTTCTGATTTTGTTGATTTCAGAAATCTCAAAAGGTGCTTTTAATGCAATTTTTGTCCAATTTATTATATGATATTTAATGTAATGGCAAAATTATTTTTGTTTCAGAAAACGTTCTTTGTGCAAGCTGTCAAAATGGAGCTACTTGCAGAATAGTCCAGCATACTTATGTATGTGACTGTCCTCTAGGTATGTGGAATCGTGATGTGTGAGACTGTCCACTAGGTATGTGGAATTGTGATGTGTGAGACCCGTCCACTAGGTATATGAATTGTGATGTGTGAGACCCGTCCACTAGGTATGTGGAATTGTGATGTGTGACTGTCCACTAGGTATGTGGAATGGTGATGTGTGTGACTGTCCACTAGGTATGTGGAATGGTGATGTGTGTGACTGTCCACTAGGTATGTGGAATTGTGATGTGAGACTGTCCACTAGGTATGTGGAATTGTGATGTGTGACTGTCCACTAGGTATGTGGAATTGTGATGTATGTGACTGTCCACTTGGTATATGGAATTGTGATGTGTGTGACTGTCCACTAGGTTTGTGGAATTGTGATGTGTGAGACTGTCCACTAGGTATGTGGAATTGTGATGTGTGAGACTGTCCACTAGGTATGTGGAATTGTGATGTGTGAGACTGTCCACTAGGTTTGTGGAATTGTGATGTGTGAGACTGTCCACTAGGTATGTGGAATTGTGATGTGAGACTGTCCACTAGGTGTGTGGAATTGCGATGTGTGAGACTGTCCACTAGGTTTGTGGAATTGTGATGTGAGACTGTCCACTAGGTATGTGGAATTGTGATGTGTGGGACTGTCCACTAGGTTTGTGGAATTGTGATGTGTGAGACTGTCCACTAGGTTTGTGGAATTGTGATGTGTGAGACTGTCCACTAGGTATGTGGAATTGTGATGTGTGAGACTGTCCACTAGGTTTGTGGAATTGTGATGTGTGAGACTGTCCACTAGGTTTGTGGAATTGTGATGTGTGAGACTGTCCACTAGGTATGTGGAATTGTGATGTGTGAGACTGTCCACTAGGTTTGTGGAATTGTGATGTGTGAGACTGTCCACTAGGTATGTGGAATTGTGATGTGTGTGACCCGTCCACTAGGTATGTGGAATTGTGATGTGTGTGACCCGTCCACTAGGTTTGTGGAATCGTGATGTGTGTGACCCGTCCACTAGGTTTGTGGAATCGTGATGTGTGTGGGACTGTAAGGTATTATTCACCTAGATTTGTGGTAGATTTGATGATGTTTTATAATGGTTTGCAGACGACAGTTGAAGAAAAAGTGCTGAGGTTTCTGATATTGTAATGATGACATATTGTTGAATGGTTATATTGGTAGACCTTGAGTGTGTACCTAACTTGTCCTCTCACAGTAAGGTCTTTGTTAACAGGTTACAGTGGAAGAGAATGTGAACAGATAACAGACAATTGTTTGTCTGAACCTTGTTACAATGGAGCAACCTGTACATCCTCACTTGGGACCTACAACTGTACATGTCCACAAGGTAAGCCTTATTTAGACATTTCAAATTAGATAGGAATATGTCATATTTATCTTTGTGTTGAAAGACTTAGTAGAAAGACGTAAGAAGTTTGATTCCTGATATTTACATCTCTATCAACAGTATTAATGACTGTGTTTAACATCTATCCACATAAAGAGAAATATCCCTGCTGTTGATAAATACATAATATGTCATTATGTTGTGTTTTTACCTATGTATAGGTGTAACTGGTGACAGTTGTGAGGTAGATGTAGATGACTGCAGAAATAAACCCTGTCAGAATGGAGGAATTTGTGTTGATGAACTGAACGGCTACTCCTGTGTGTGTCTATCAACCTTCTATGGCAACAAGTTGGTATTTATTGCTAGAGAAACAGTGTGTCACCAGAGATACTGTTTTTAGGTCATCTGACCGAAGGGTATTGCAATCGCCTTTTGTCTGGCATCGTCTGTTGTCTGTCGTCTGTCGTAAACATTTTCAACTTCTTCTCAAGTTCTACATGTCTCATTGAGCTGAAACTTACCTGAAATGATTGTGACATGATCCTGACCAAAGTTTGTTAATTGGGTTGGTCTGAAATCCAACATGTCCGTCATGGCCGCCATCTTGAAAACACATTTTCGACTTCTTCTCAAGTTCAAAATTTGAAATCTTGTATTTTATCTCAGATGACTGTTAAGGCCCATTGGCCTCTTGTTTTTTATTCACATTACTAGGACTACAAGTCATTATTACTGAAATATATACTGTAGTGATCCTTCAAAATAATCTGATTTAAGATTTTAGGAATTTGAGGTGCCCGTAGATGAAAATTATGGGGAAGTTTTACAGTAATCTTTTTCTGTGTGTGACATGAGGCTGGACGTACTTGAGACTGGTCAGTTTGCCTGTTAAACATTTATTTACTTGGACTAGCCTAGATTTACATAGCAGTTGATGAAGCAGAAGATGCTTACCCTTCTGGATTACATGTTTCTCTCCTTGCACCTTTCCAGTAGTCAAAAAAAAATCTTTTTGCACTAGTTTTATTCAATCTAAGTTTGGAATATAATTGTTGGTATTTTCTTGTTTTTTTTCTGATTGAGATGTAATTTCAGCATCCGTAATAAAACAGATTTCGTTTGTAGCTGTGAGTTAGATAACTCGACCGATGTGTGTGTATCTTTGCCCTGTGACAATGGTGGAACATGTGTATCTGTACACAACCTTTGGAGGAAATGTCTCTGTCTGCCCGGATTCCTGGGACAGGATTGTCAAGTCAACATTGGTAAGCCTCAGAATGTCAGGATTGTACCTCTGTAAATCAAATCTAAACTCAACATTTTTGACATCAAATAGAAATCATTTCCATCTACAGATGAATGTTCATCCTCCCCCTGTCTGAATGGAGGACAGTGTGCTGATGGCAACAACTCTTACACCTGTACTTGTGTCACATATAAGGGGAACAGGTGTGAAACGCCTAGAATCACCTGTGATAGCCTTACCTGTGGAAATGCTGATGAGTGTTATGATGACTATAAGACAGGACTTCCTCAGTGTCTGTGTAATCCTGGATATACTCAAGGTAGGTGTCTTTGTAATAATTGATACCCAATGAGTAGGTGTCTACGTAACCATGAATATATTATCAGTAAATTTGTCCATGAGGTCTTGTCTTTATATTTATCGATGTCTTATGTGTTTTTTTTATTCCATATATACCATGGTTAATTGTCTATATGATTGTGTAACCATCCTGGAAATATTGTCACTGTACTTGTTACTTTGTATAATGTTTTAAAGTATTGCGATATCTTATATATTTTAAGAGCAAGGACAGAGTGATTGTTCGCTTGTGGACGTCTGCGCATCATCGCCCTGCCAGAGGGGAGGAACGTGTATTAATATTCCTGGCGGACAAACCTGTCAGTGTCCCCCGGGGTATGGAGGATACCGCTGTCAACATGACCTTGATGACTGTGCTTCCACACCCTGTCTCAACAATGGAACATGCGAAGACAGATTTAATAACTATACATGTGACTGCCCCATTGGATTCACAGGTATAACAGCTACTGTCGGTGTTACTAAAACAAAGACTATATAACATGAAAGTCATAATTGCTACTCTATATTAGAGATAACTACATGTACCTCTAGACGACCAAGCTGGTCATGATGTCTTGATACCTATATCTTTAACAGACCAGGCCCCCAACACCCAGATCTCCCAGCTGATTACCGTAATCCCTACCATAACACACCCTGTTTCTGCTGTTTCAGGTAGAGATTGCTCCTCAGACATAGATGAGTGTTTGAGTAACCCCTGTCATCCACCTGGAACATATTCCTGTAACAACACATATGGAGGCTTCATCTGCAACTGCAACCAGGGCTATTCCGGGCTCAACTGTTCAGTAAGCACAAATACATGATATCCTTTCATGCTTTTATTGAAAAACAGATTTTGTTGCCCTTCCATATTTTCTACACTTATGAACTATTGCATCACGGAAGAATCCTTTGAGGACAGAACACATACATGAGGAAGCAAACTTGATATATTGTTAAGTCCATGTTAGAAAGGGAAATCAACATATTTGTCCTATAGGAAGTTTAGGAGAATGTTGAATCACATTGAATACTACTGAAACAAGAAGAAAGCCTATATATATTTCAGGGTGTTGTTCCGACACCAACTCTCTGTCGTAGGTGTATACAGACAATGATCCCTGCGTCACCAACCCTTGTCTTCATGAAGGTGTCTGTAGAAGGTTGACATCAGGATTTATATGTGAGTGTGAGAATGGATGGACAGGCCAGCGTTGTGAAGTACTCGTCAATTACTGTGTAAACATTGCCAACCCTTGTCTCAACAATGCCTCCTGTGTCAGTCTTCAAAATGATTTCATCTGCAGGTAAATAATTTGCTAGAATTATGCTAGTCATTACAATAACGGTTGGTTAGTTTGTCATTTAATGACAAAAGTCCTTCTTGTGGTTCATTGATACTGTAACCGTTTTGACTAATCTTTTGTTTGTAACTATCCTCTCTGTCGTTTAATTGTAGATGTCCGACTGGTACCTATGGTCGTTACTGCGACCAGCTCCCTGACTTGTGCAGCCGTCTCAACCCTTGTCTAAACCTTGCAAATTGTTCAGCTAAGGGAGAGAATTTTACTGGATGCAGTTGTGCTACAGGTAAACAATTATTGAAATAATTCATGTGCTGTTATAACAGTTGTATCAGACAAGACCTGGACCTATATACAATTATTTATGTCATGTCATTAAGATGATTTAACATAAATACCACCCTCTTATTTGACCTATTTTCAGGTTTCCTTGGTGATGGTTGCCAGATCAGGAAGAACTATAATTGTGACAACAGCCCTTGTCTTAATGGTGCCACATGCTCCTTGGATCCTGGCAGTCATCTCTCCTGTACTTGTGCACCAGGTAGTCTATCATTGTGAAATGGTTACGCCATCAGAGTAACCAGCAGCCTTCGGATTCGTCATTAGGGACTGTTCAGAAATTTTGGAAAAAGATGTTTTCCTGTTGTATTTAAATTGACAACATAATTATAACAGTATACACTGATATATAGTATTCATGAACAGTGCAAGTGTTCTAACCATGATACAATTATGTCATTATATATATATATCTTTCTAGGTTATTATGGAGAGTATTGTCAGTTTGATGTAAACGAGTGTGAAAATGTCACCTGTCCAGGCCAAGGAGCATGTATAGATGGGTTAAATCGGTACTTTTGTCGTTGTCCTCTTGGCAAACTTCTTCCTGACTGTACAGAAGGTAAGTATACTGCAGACATGTTCTTCAGGCTAGGTCTATCCACTGTGGACAATAAAGTAGGTGTATTTACTGTAACAACACTATCACTATATCCTATTGACCACATCCTTCTGGACTGTATACACATAAAGAAGGCAGGTATTCACAACTGATGGTTCAACTGCCCTCTTGATAAATTCTCCCCTGACAGTACAAACAGTAGGTACAGCCGAGATCAACCAATACTGTGGTAATCCTCTACACATTCCTCCCTCGGTTGCACGGAAGGTATCTTTACTACAGATGAGGTCACTAGCAAACTGCCGCTGTCATCATAACAAGGTCCCTCCTGTCTGTGAAAATAACACAAGATATCCATTTTGATTTTAGTCACAGAATTGGTCTGGTATATCTCTGATATCTGATTTTCTGTTTCATTTTCAGTGTGAGTTGTAATTTCAGCTTTTTGTTTTATATTTCCAGATTTGACAGTTATGTATGACTTGTGTTTTGAGTCTCCCTGGAGAACAGCAAGTGCCTCTCTGCCTTTCAGTATACCAGTAAACAACCAGTTCCTGTCTCTCAGTTTTTGGGTAAAATTCTCAGCAAAAACTGGAACAGGAACTTTCTTGTCCGTGTTTGAACAAAGGTGTGTAGGCTATTGTACTAAGTAACTTTGTCGTTGGTGCCATTGTCATTTCTGGTAGGAACTTTTCCTACAGTCAACTCTTCTGCCTCAAATTTTTAATTTTATTGCTACTTCTAACCAGAGATCATTCAAAGAAACAATTTGAACATATCAAATATTAAATCCTTATTGGATGATAAAGTACTCTGGACACTTGTACTAACCAAATAAAAAACTCAAGAATGATTTGATAATTATGTATGTTCACAGTCATGTGACTGTAGGAATCTGTTGACTTCATACATGTATAAGTCCTTACATCCTCACTAGAAACTGTTCTTCTTGATGTCATGTTTTGTGACCTTAATCCCTTAACTTGACAATGTTTATTACCTGTGAGCTGTTTTGTTGCCTAGCAACCCCGATTTCGCCTCTGGACGGGAACTACTATTCAGTTTTTCCCAGGACGGTTTCCTCGTCTCACCTGATGGTACCGTAGATAAAGAAAACTTCGGGACTTACTCTGTAAACAATGGACAGTGGCACCTAATTGTGATGACATGGGACACTACCATTGGAGAGTTAGAAGTCAGGGTTAACACTGTACGTGTATTTCACCTGACAAATTATCATCAAGGAAGGCTTCTTGATAAGTTGTAAGTTTTTCTGTTATGTGACTTGATCTGAAAGAATAAGATCTCATGAAACGCTTTGCGTTTAAGCTAAATACTATCTTTCATATTTCCATTTTATCTTCCATTGAAACAGTCTCATTTATATGATTATTTTCAGAGAAAACCCATAAAAACAAGACTATAAGATTGATAAATAGAAATCTCACAAGACTGACTGTCTGTTTTCAGTTACTGGATAACGTTGGGAAATGAATTTTCTCCAGCTAACATGACGTCTGTGCCAGTAGGAGGTTTCCTGGGCTGCATTTCTCAGGTGAACATATTCAGTTATATACTAGACACTAATGTGGAGGTTCCAAGTCTGATGATAAATCCCTTCACTGTTGGAGGACGTGGTGATGTCCTACAGTGGAACGAGTTTGAACTGCATGGCCTTGTCAGTAGAATCAGACCAAGCACGGTAATGGACCCCGTCTGTGACGACTGCTCTTCTCCAGGTAAATTAAATATCAAACTGTAACCATTAATTGATGAAGACTTCATTAACAACATATTAATTAACAATTTAAATGAATACACTTTTGAAGAGAACCAGGACAAGGTGCAGTGTGTTGACAGGATAATTCTTTGCTCTATGTTTGGTACTTCCCAGAACCTTACTGTCTGTTATAGTGTGAGGTTTGTATTTTCAACTTGTTTATGTGTGTTACAGACAGGACCATTCCTACCCTCACCTGTCCAAAAGATGTGTACCTTGTATCCACTCACCCATACAGCCCTGTATCATGGAGTCTTCTCCAACATGAGGAAGGACTCGTTGTAAAGACAAACATGACATCAGGTAAGTCTTTCATGTCTTCAAGTTTTAAAAGCATTGATCAGAATGGCATTATATGCTTTACAGTGATCAGAGTTTTGTTAAAGAAGGTATACTTAGGAAATGTATTCTGTTCCTGATTTCATGAGTCGTGGTAGAAGACACTATGTGTATTTATGGGACAAAAATGTGCGATAATATATTTCTGACTGCAGGTACCGCCCTTTCCATAGGCAGACACACTGTGGTGTACTCGGCATCAGATGTGAACAACAATACTGCGGTGTGCTCATTCAGGATCTACATCAAGGGTAGGTAGTTGCTTAGAAACTAGTTAGGAATGTGACAATTTGTCTTACTGATTTTTACTAAATCTGTGAACTTGGTTCAGAAAAGACTTTTCCTGACTGGGTTTGGCATATGATGACCTGTTAGTGTCTCAACTATGTTTTGTTTCAGAAAACAACTGTGAGTTTCCTGACTTGTTTGGAGGTGTTGAGAAGACCTGTCAGACTGGTGGTGATGGTAATCGTTACACTGGATGTTCCCTGTCTTGTCCCTCTTCTGGATACACTCTTAGTCGGGTCACACCCCTCTCCTACACGTGTGGACCTCTAGGGTGGTGGGAAACAGGAGTAGACCAGAAGTGTGCCCCGATTTACCCCACATGTGGAAGTAAGGCATATATAGATACCATTGATTCTATGATCCTAATTACTGGTAATAGCACAAAAAAAAGAAGAACGGGAATTAAATAAAACAGTTAGATTCAATGAAATTCAATTGTTCATCGAATAAATACTATGGGTTTGTCACATGATTCTCTGTAATGTTCACCATGTTTGACCTTTCTCCAGATATCACCTCAACGGCCACAGTGAATGTGAAAGTGAGGCTGGTGTACCCCGCCACCCTGACAGCATGTGACCAGGTCAAGGATACCTTGGAAATGTACACACGGGAACATATAAATACTTTAGACACGGAGTGGGGCAGCAAGTTATGTAGCCAGGAAGATTGTGAGGATGTTGTTCTAAGTGTTAACTGTAGCTCAGCAACACCTGTAGTGGAGTTTATCATTAACAACGTAGGGTAGGTGCCATATTTTTGTTTTTGGGGGAGGGGGGATGGTATCTGGTAGATTCTGTCAGCACCAGTAATATTGGATAGGTGAAACAAGAAATATAGTGTATGTATTATCTAGTTCTTATATTGCTATAAATTATTATCAACAATTTTAGGGAAGATGTGAAATATTCCATTGTAATATTAATACTCAACATCAGTGAAATGGATTTGTCTCTAGCAAAAACAAGAGTGCATCATTTACATTAAATTTGTGAAAAACTTTACACATATTTCTTGATACTAAAAATATCTGTCAACACTGAATGTTAATCATGTCTTAGTGTAATGTAACAGTTAGTGTATAACAGTTCTAATGTTAATCATGTCTTAGTAGTGTAACAGTTAGTGTATTACTAACAGTTCTAATGTTAATCACTTAGTAGTGTAACAGTTAGTGTATTACTAACAGTTCTAATGTTAATCACTTAGTAGTGTAACAGTTAGTGTATTACTAACAGTTCTAATGTTAATCACTTAGTAGTGTAACAGTTAGTGTATTACTAACAGTTCTAATGTTAATCACTTAGTAGTGTAACAGTTAGTGTATTACTAACAGTTCTAATGTTAATCACTTAGTAGTGTAACAGTTAGTGTATTACTAACAGTTCTAATGTTAATCACTTAGTAGTGTAACAGTTAGTGTATTACTAACAGTTCTAATGTTAATCACTTAGTAGTGTAACAGTTAGTGTATTACTAACAGTTCTAATGTTAATCACTTAGTAGTGTAACAGTTAGTGTATAACAGTTCTAATGTTAATCACTTAGTAGTGTAACAGTTAGTGTATTACAAACAGTTCTAATACTAAGAACTGGAAATTCCTGTCCCATTTCTGTCTAATTGATCAGAGTGTAAGATATAGCACTGAAATTTGACACAGGTTTCTTCATGGATGTGGATGCAATGTTTTTCCTTAGCACACATTTAATTGTTTACATAGGCTGAAGTTGATAGGAGTAGATGGAGAGTCCAAGAGTCCGGAGCAAATTTTTACACAGGCACTTCTTGATCAGAACAGATTCCACTTTAAGGTTTGTATTTCAGTCTATGTTCATTTCATAAAGGATATTACTATATGATATCTGTACCCAGTACAGTGTATATGAGAATAGCATTCCACTGCTTGTTTGTATGTATTTCATGCTTTTAGGAGATGATCCCTAATGCTGATCCAGTGATAATCCTTTCTGCTGTCGAGTCCTCCTTAATATGTCCTGATGGATATCTACTTATGGGAACTGACTGTGGTAATTATGTCTTCCTGGAATATTGGGTGACTTCTGGGCTCTTAATATTGAAACTATGTCTGGGATTCCTTGGATAACTAGGTTTTTTGACATCTGATTATATTTGTGAATTACACACATGTATTTACACAAAGAATTATGAATTATTATTCATATACATTATTACTCCGAAAATTAAAATCCTTCGCATAATCATGGTCATGCAAAACTGATAATCAATGCAGTTGAATATGCACATCATAAACATTTTACAGTAGCTGGTTCTGTTACTCTATTCCAGTTACATGTGGATTTGGAACGTATCTAAATTTGACCACCAACTTGTGTGACTACTGTGCTAAAGGATTCTATTATGTTAGCGAAGGAAACACTTCCTGCCGAGCATGCCCAGAAGGGACAACAACTGAGTGTCCAGCAGCAGTGTCCCTTGCCCAGTGTCATGGTTAGTGTACTAAACACATCTGTTTTCCCATTTACTATTACTTCTTACATGTGTAAATGTAGTTTCTGGATAGTGACCGCCTGGCTGCTATTTTTGAGTACCAGTGGAGGCAGAACATATCTATCATTATTTCCTATTACACTTGTACAGGTGTTACATATTGTTTTCAGCAGAGTTTAGGTAACAATAAAGAGTTATCTATAAACGTTATAGACTCAAAAGCGATTTCCTTGATATTGTTTTATCCTCCCGAAGTGCTTAGTAACTCTATAACAAAATGTCTAGACACAAGGGTACAAATTACTATTACATACTAAGACAATAAGTTGCTAATTAAACAGTAACTCCTGTGTCTTTTGTTGAAACAGTTGTTTGTGAGAATGGATCATTCTTCAATCTGACCACTCAGACCTGTGAGATTTGTCCCATGGGTACATACCAAGACCAAAGTGGACAGTTTGAATGTCTTGCCTGTCCATATAATCAAACAACTATTCAGAATGGAACAACGGATGTCAAATTTTGCTTTGGTACATATTTAATTTGGATACTTTAATGTGATACTCTAAGAAGATATTTAAGACATTAATTATGTTGTATTTCATAACAGTTATAACAGGAGAGGAGATTGAAGGAGGGATAACCAAATCTACTGAGCAATGTAATGTAACTTCATCATTCCAGATTCAAGAAAATTTGTTTTTGTCTAAAAATTGCCAGCAATAGCCATAATTTGTTGGAATCAGATATATGGAAATTACAACATGGATAGAATTCTTGGGTCAGTGCTGCCCTCCTTCTAGATTTTGACATTTCTTTCAATCTGTTTTTGTTTATCTTTTTTGCCTTTGTGGTTTATTAATTTTGGCCCTTAGTGTCCCTGACAAATCCTAGAAGGATGAAGCAGCTCTATAATGTAGTTGGATTTATTATCTGTCTTTCTTTATCTAATTCTGATTTGATATAGAAAGGTGTTATTGACATCTGTGTATTTTGTATATTATCTGAACTATTGACAGAAAATTTCTGTGTAAAAGGGTATCAACATCATGGTGACCTTTACATCAATTGCATTCTCTCTGTTTAAATTCTGACATCAAAAACATATCAATGAACTGTAAAGCTAGGAACATTTGACACCAGCATTTGATATTTACGATTTCAATTCAGTCTATGATATTTATGCCTAAAAGAAAAGTTGGATGTTAATAAAAAATGAAACATTGTGATGAGAATTTCATTCTACAATGTTTGATGTAAGGATAACTAAAGAAGTCTTATGACATTTTTATGATTCTATACACAAAAATGCCAGAAATGTGATAACAACAGAGATGCATAATGATTATCTGTTTTGATCCATGCAGATGATTGCCCCTCTGGGTTTGAGGTGGATCTCCAGGGTTCATGCAGTGAGTGTGTGGTAGGGACATTTCGTGTGAAGGGAGATGGACTTTTATGTGTTCCTTGTCCTCCTGGGTTTACAACACCAAGCACTGGCTCGCACAGTATTCTGAACTGTACCACAGGTAAGTGTCTTTACTTATAAAACTTATTTGTGTTTACAATCTATGATTTGTTTAGTTGTAACTCTGTTTAACCTAATAGTCATTATCTAGGTACTGAAGATAGAGCTAAATTATGGTGTGTGGTTTCATATTCAAATCCCTATGTTAAAGAATAACTCCTCCTTTGGATGGAAGTATTTGAAAAAGATATCTTCATGCTGTTTAAGTATTTCTGGACTATATATCAAAACATCCTTATCCTTCAGTCACATGTCTTGTCTTTTTCCTTTTTCCTCTACCACTGTTCACCAATGTCCAAAGCATTGTCTTCTCAGCAGAAAACTGTAACTGACTCACACCTTGTTTCAGTTATATGTTCTCCTGGGTACAGAGCAGATAGTACAAACACCCACTGTGAACGATGTCCAATTGGGCATTATCAGCCAGATTGGAACCAATTAGATTGTCTCCCCTGTCCAGAAAACACAACCACCCGGCTGGATGCAGCTGACAACCAGACGCTGTGTGAAGGTAAATGTTGCTTATTTTAGTTGGCCTTAAGAAGCATGGTCTGTAGGAAATGTCTTCTCTGTTCAAATGAAATGTTCATATGATCCAGACAAATTTTTCAACTTAGAATTCATGTTAGTGATTGAATTGGAAAAATAAAGGTTTCTTAAAAGAGAATGAATTAATATACAATATACACAGATAGTTCTGGTTGGATGGATTGTGGGTTCCTTCACTCCCCATCTGGATACCTTTAGTATTTAGAGTGATTGAGCAGAAGGGAAAAGTCAGGTAAGGATATCAATCATAACAGCAAAGGAAGTGGATATGTTTAAAATATGAAAGGTACTTGTTGACCAGTTTCTCCCTCCCGGACTTCTTCAGGACACCTATATGCTAAAAATAGTATATCTGCTATTATAACATTATACAATTCCATGCTCGATACCTCTTACATATATCCATACATTGAAAATTTGTATATAGGTTGCTAGCTCTATATTATCAGTTCAGATACATCCTACTCTTACTACAAATAAATATTTCTGTATCCAACTCATAATAAATTATTGACTTTGTTATTAAGATAGTGTATCCCTCACCATTAGTAGTTCATTAACAAATGGCTTAACACTGGTCACTGGTCATCTAGACATAGTGTTGAAGTGGATTCTGATACATAGTTGTATCTCTTATAATCCCTTATTTCTGTTACCCCATGATATTCGTTTTCTGAAGTACTCGGCATAGACCCTGCTGCCTCCGAGATGTCGTCACTAAGGGTGAGGTCCTATTTCAGCAGGTCAATAGCTTGATCTATCGTTGGCCTTGATTTCTCAGGTGGTCCTCCATTAATTATATACTGTCCCTGGACTACCCGGAACTTCGCCAGGTCCGACTGAGACTTGGTGAGGCTCTCAAATGGTCTCTCTGTTGATGGTTTCTAGTTGTATCTTGAGTGGTCGACAAGTACCTAGTAAATAAACACATCCACTTCCTTGGCTGTTGTTATTGATACACTAATTTCTGCTACAGATCCATTATCCTTCATAGTGTACTTACTTTTACACTTCAGTATACATTGTCTTCAACACTCTTTTCTGGTTTCCTCAGATTTCTGTCTGTCTGGGTATGAGCGTGTAGGTCTGGAGTGTGTTCCCTGTCCAGTAGGACAATACAAAAACAATAGTTATGGAATGTTGGAAAGTTGTGTTACTTGTCCACGTGGGTATGTCACACCATTGGTTGCCTCCACGTCTTCAACAAACTGCAGCATTTGTAAGTACTTCTTCCTTTTAATTCACAAAATGGAAATGCAATTTGATTTCAATATTTGATAAACAAGATGAAAACCTGTATATAATGCTTTAAACAGAAGACTCGTGTCAAGTATGTCTTAAGGTGTCACACTTGTTTAGTGCAATTTATAGTCATGGAAATCTTCTAGTTCTTTTCTTTTACAGATAACTGTACAGAAGGATCAAAGATCAATTATAACAATACTGGGTGTGAGCTGTGTCCTTTAGGAGAATACCAGCCTCAGAAATATCAAACCGATTGTCTCCCTTGTGCTAATGGCTCTAGTACACGACAAGTGGGAGCGACAGTGTGTGAAGGTAACTTTACAGTAAAATCTTCCTCTTTTTACTAAAAGTGTCTCCTTTGTATTTGTGCGTGATTTTAATGGCATCACTTTGATCTTTAGATTTGTGGGTTTTTGTCTCCTCCAGTGATCTGTCCATCAGGCCAGCAGCTAAAGGATGGCCAGTGTGAACCTTGTCCTGTAGGTTATTACAGAAACAATACTGGAGATCTGTTTGGGGACTGCCAGTTATGTCCTGTTGACTTCATCACTGATCATCAGGGAGCTACCTCTGTAGACATGTGCATTATTGGTAAACATCTCTGTTTTCAGCATAAATGTTTTTGTTGTTGGTGAGGATTTCTGTGTTGTTTGTGAGAATGTTTGTGATAATAATGATAAGATGTATGTTTCGTTGATGTTTATATTGTTGATGAGGAACTGTGACGTATTTAATGGTCATTTGACATAAACAAATGTTTACAGGAAACATATTTTGTTTTATTGTGTTACTTTTATTTGGATTATGTATTTGGTGATAAAGGAGTGTCACTCTTAAATGTTGTGACATGAAATTATGAGATATATATTCACATCAATGATAAAGTAAAAATGGACCACTTGTCTTTACCAGGGAACTGTACATCTGGTCAATACTTGCTGAACACCACCCTGAATTGTACAGACTGTCCAGTTGGAACATACCAACCACAAAAGTGGCAGACAGCATGTATCTCCTGTCCCAATGACACCACAACACAGGGAGAAGGGGCGTCTCAACGATCACAATGTTTCTGTAAGTTTGGAAGGGGTAAGAGAGGACAACTCTGGACATAATGTTTCTGTAAGTGTGGAATGGGGTTAGGGAGGATAACTCTGTGGACACAATGTTTCTGTAAGTGTGGAATGGGGTTAGGGAGGATAACTCTGTGGACACAATGTTTCTGTAAGTCTGGTAGGGGTTAGGGAGGATAACTCTGGACATAATGTATCTGTAAGTCTGGTAGGAGTTAGTGAGGATAACTCTGTGGACACAATGTTTCTGTAAGTCTGGTAGGGGTTAGGAAGGATAACTCTGTGGACACAATGTTTCTGTCAGTCTGGTAGGGGTTAGGAAGGATAACTCTGTGGACACAATGTTTCTGTCAGTCTGGTAGGGGTTAGGGAGGATAACTCTGTGGACACAATGTATCTGTCAGTCTGGTAGGGGTTAGGGAGGATAACTCTGTGGACACAGTGTTTCTGTCAGTCTGGTAGGGGTTAGGGAGGATAACTCTGTGGACACAATGTTTCTGTCAGTCTGGTAGGGGTTAGGGAGGATAACTCTGTGGACACAATGTTTCTGTCAGTCTGGTAGGGGTTAGGGAGGATAACTCTGTGGACACAATGTTTCTGTAAGTGTGGAATGGGGTTAGGGAGGATAACTCTGTGGACACAATGTTTCTGTCAGTCTGGTAGGGGTTAGGGAGGATAACTCTGTGGACACAATGTATCTGTCAGTCTGGTAGGGGTTAGGGAGGATAACTCTGTGGACACAATGTTTCTGTCAGTCTGGTAGGGGTTAGGGAGGATAACTCTGTGGACACAATGTTTCTGTCAGTCTGGTAGGGGTTAGGGAGGATAACTCTGTGGACACAATGTTTCTGTCAGTCTGGTAGGGGTTAGGGAGGATAACTCTGTGGACACAATGTTTCTGTAAGTGTGGAATGGGGTTAGGGAGGATAACTCTGTGGACACAATGTTTCTGTCAGTCTGGTAGGGGTTAGGGAGGATAACTCTGTGGACACAATGTTTCTGTCAGTCTGGTAGGGGTTAGGGAGGATAACTCTGTGGACACAATGTATCTGTCAGTCTGGTAGGGGTTAGGGAGGATAACTCTGTGGACACAATGTTTCTGTCAGTCTGGTAGGGGTTAGGGAGGATAACTCTGTGGACACAGTGTTTCTGTAAGTGTGGAATGGGGTTAGGGAGGATAACTCTGTGGACACAATGTTTCTGTCAGTCTGGTAGGGGTTAGGGAGGATAACTCTGTGGACACAATGTTTCTGTAAGTGTGGAATGGGGTTAGGGAGGATAACTCTGTGGACACAATGTTTCTGTAAGTGTGGAATGGGGTTAGGGAGGATAACTCTGTGGACACAATGTTTCTGTCAGTCTGGTAGGGGTTAGGGAGGATAACTCTGTGGACACAATGTTTCTGTAAGTGTGGAATGGGGTTAGGGAGGATAACTCTGTGGACACAATGTTTCTGTAAGTGTGGAATGGGGTTAGGGAGGATAACTCTGTGGACACAATGTTTCTGTCAGTCTGGTAGGGGTTAGGGAGGATAACTCTGTGGACACAATGTTTCTGTAAGTGTGGAATGGGGTTAGGGAGGATAACTCTGTGGACACAATGTTTCTGTAAGTGTGGAATGGGGTTAGGGAGGATAACTCTGTGGACACAATGTTTCTGTCAGTCTGGTAGGGGTTAGGGAGGATAACTCTGTGGACACAATGTTTCTGTAAGTGTGGAATGGGGTTAGGGAGGATAACTCTGTGGACACAATGTTTCTGTAAGTGTGGAATGGGGTTAGGGAGGATAACTCTGTGGACACAATGTTTCTGTCAGTCTGGTAGGGGTTAGGGAGGATAACTCTGTGGACACAATGTTTCTGTCAGTCTGGTAGGGGTTAGGGAGGATAACTCTGGACATAATGTATCTGTAAGTGTGGAATGGGGTTAGGGAGGATAACTCTGTGGACACAATGTTTCTGTCAGTCTGGTAGGGGTTAGGGAGGATAACTCTGTGGACACAGTGTTTCTGTAAGTGTGGAATGGGGTTAGGGAGGATAACTCTGTGGACACAATGTTTCTGTCAGTCTGGTAGGGGTTAGGGAGGATAACTCTGTGGACACAATGTTTCTGTCAGTCTGGTAGGGGTTAGGGAGGATAACTCTGGACATAATGTATCTGTAAGTGTGGAATGGGGTTAGGGAGGATAACTCTGTGGACACAATGTTTCTGTCAGTCTGGTAGGGGTTAGGGAGGATAACTCTGTGGACACAATGTTTCTGTCAGTCTGGTAGGGGTTAGGGAGGATAACTCTGTGGACACAATGTTTCTGTCAGTCTGGAATGGGGTTAGGGAGGATAACTCTGTGGACACAATGTTTCTGTCAGTCTGGTAGGGGTTAGGGAGGATAACTCTGTGGACACAATGTTTCTGTCAGTCTGGTAGGGGTTAGGGAGGATAACTCTGTGGACACAATGTATCTGTCAGTCTGGTAGGGGTTAGGGAGGATAACTCTGTGGACACAGTGCTTCTGTAAGTGTGGAATGGGGTTAGGGAGGATAACTCTGGACATAATGTTTCTGTAAGTCTGGAATGGGGTTAGGGAGGATAACTCTGTGGACACAATGTTTCTGTCAGTCTGGTAGGGGTTAGGGAGGATAACTCTGTGGACACAATGCTTCTGTAAGTGTGGAATGGGGTTAGGGAGGATAACTCTGTGGACACAATGTTTCTGTAAGTGTGGAATGGGGTTAGGGAGGATAACTCTGGACATAATGTTTCTGTAAGTGTGGAATGGGGTTAGGGAGGATAACTCTGGACATAATGTATCTGTAAGTGTGGAATGGGGTTAGGGAGGATAACTCTGTGGACACAATGCTTCTGTAAGTGTGGAATGGGGTTAGGGAGGATAACTCTGTGGACACAATGTTTCTGTAAGTGTGGAATGGGGTTAGGGAGGATAACTCTGGACATAATGTTTCTGTAAGTGTGGAATGGGGTTAGGGAGGATAACTCTGGACATAATGTTTCTGTAAGTGTGGAAAGGGGTTAGGGAGGATAACTCTGGACATAATGTTTCTGTAAGTGTGGAATGGGGTTAGGGAGGATAACTCTGGACATAATGTATCTGTAAGTGTGGAATGGGGTTAGGGAGGATAACTCTGTGGACACAATGTTTCTGTCAGTCTGGTAGGGGTTAGGGAGGATAACTCTGGACATAATGTATCTGTAAGTGTGGAATGGGGTTAGGGAGGATAACTCTGTGGACACAATGTTTCTGTCAGTCTGGTAGGGGTTAGGGAGGATAACTCTGTGGACACAATGTTTCTGTCAGTCTGGTAGGGGTTAGGGAGGATAACTCTGTGGACACAATGTTTCTGTCAGTCTGGTAGGGGTTAGGGAGGATAACTCTGTGGACACAGTGTTTCTGTAAGTCTTGTAGGGGTTAGGGAGGATAACTCTGTGGACACAGTGTTTCTGTAAGTCTTGTAGGGGTTAGGGAATACAACTCTGTGGACATGTTTCTGTAGAGCAGCAGGGGTAAGAATGTAACCATTTGGTCACAATGCTTCTGTAAGTTTGCAAGGAACAGGTTGGGGGGGGGGGTTGAGGGTGGAGGGGGGGGAGATTACTTTGCTATCACAATGCAGTTAGTCAACAGGGATTAATGGGTGGTAACCCTGTGGTCACAATGTTGTTTATATATATATATATTATTAGTGCAGTGCCATGATATTTATGATACAGATATGTTTGTATTTTTCAGTGTATTGTGATGCAGGCTATGAAGGAGTAAATACAACATGTGACCCCTGCCCTGTTGGGTACTATAAGTCAATGGCAGGTGCTTTACCCTGCTTAGCCTGTCCCTCAGGCAACAGAACTCTGGACACAGGGGCTACGAACAAGTCACAATGTCATGTTGGTCTGTATAATCACTTTTGTGTTAAATCTTTTTATGGTATTCTGTGACAAGGACATTTGAAGAGTTAGTTGTTCATAGGTATATTTTTAACCCCTGTGAAACATGTTTGTTGAGGATATTGATTTGGCCTCAATCCGTCTGTCATGCATGTGAATGTGCATGTGCGTGTGTCAATCCAGGGGATTTCCTGGCTATATCTTCTAAACCATTCAACTCAACTTCACAAAACTTGCCGTTTATATTAAGTTAGTGCTCTAGTTGTACCTCCTGCTATTGACAATATTCCTTTTTTTTTTTTTAAATATTTTTTGTGATACCATGGAAACATAGTAAAAAACCATAAAATTAGTGTTAACTTTCCTTTACAGGCTACATCTTCAAAACCATTCCACTCAACTCCACAAAACGTCATGTATATATTACATTAGTGCCCTAGTTGAATTTATTTCTGTTACCATGGAAACAGATATCCCACATTACAAATTTAAGTGTTTCTGGACTTGTGTGCTGAAACTTTTTAAGATAATTGCACAAAACTTTTTAAGGTATTATAATCTTTTGCTATGGGTAAGTTCTCCTTTGAAATACTTTTTCTGTAACCATGGAAACAGGTAGGCCAAATCACATAATTAATCTTTTTTTCAGACCAGTTCTCTTAAACCTTTCAATGTTCTAAAAACTTTGTACAGGCATCAGGCTAGTACTCTAGTTCTCCATTTCAATACTTTGTATAGAACAATTAAAATTAACATATAGAAATTAAACTTGTTGTAATATTAAAATATATATATGATTATGTGTATTGCTTTTAGTGGGACATGGGAGATAATGCCACATTTTGCATTATCCTGTTTTGTTATGTTCATATACTCTTTATGATTAGTATTTCTTAAAAGTACGAAGTAACTACATATGTGTTTGTGTTTATTTATAAAAGTAATCAGCAGTGATCTGTGCAGGAGTGAACTTGGTTTACGGATAAATCATGTTCAGCATATCTATCTACTACAAGTTATATTATTAAATTCAGTTATACATGTAAAGCAGTCTTATCTTACTAGACTAGAACTATTGAATATATTGGATTGAGTTAAGTGATGTTATTTTATCATGAGATATGCAAGTTCTTTTGATTACTTCTGTCAAATTTATCTATCACGATATCCGAGGACAAAGCAGCTGTATGATGTACTAGAATTGTTTAGTAGTATTATCCACCTGTTTTACAGCTGCCTGTGAGCCTGGTACCTACTTACAGAACAATACATGTAAACTGTGTCCCTATGGTCAGTACCAGAGGGACAAATGGCAAGATGATTGTGTCCCTTGTCCCCCTGAGACCACAACATACCACCTGGGGGCTGCAAACCTCTCGAGTTGTGTCAGTAAGTAGACTCTACATCTCATCGTAAATAAGAACAGTCAATCGCATTGATTCTTTGCACCATGTCTATAGGTTTACTACTGTTAAAGTAGTGGAAATTTATATAGTCAAACATCCTGTACTTACAACTGGCAGTTCAACATGTTATGTCTGTCATATTGTTGACTTCACTACCTGGGAATAGATTAGGTTACTACAATCAGAACGTCTCAGTTGTCTACCTGCCATCAGTATCCTAACATTGAGTGGGAATTCAGAAAATACAGTCGCTGTATTTCAGCTATAAAAGCTGGTAGTTTTATATAGTTAGGCAATCAGCAGTAAAGTCTTGACAGGACTGGTTGGCTCTTTTTCTCTTTCTGTAGCCACTCATGTTGTCTGTTTTATATATTTGTCAGGAGTCAGGCATTGTAGCTGTTCATGTTGTCTGTTTTATATATTTGTCAGGAGTCAGGCATTGTAGCTGTTAATGTTGTCTGTTTTATATATTTATTTGGTGTCAGGCCTTGTAGCTGTTCATGTTGTCTGATTTATATATTTATTTGGTGTCAGGCCTTGTAGCTGTTAATGTTGTCTGATTTATATATTTATTTGGTGTCAGACCTTGTATCTGTTAATGTTGTCTGTTTTATATATTTATTTGGTGTCAGACCTTGTAGCTGTTAATGTTGTCTGTTTTATATATTTATTTGGTGTCAGACCTTGTAGCTGTTAATGTTGTCTGTTTTATATATTTATTTGGTGTCAGACCTTGTAGCTGTTAATGTTGTCTGTTTTATATATTTATTTGGTGTCAGGCCTTGTAGCTGTTCATGTTGTCTGATTTATATATTTATTTGGTGTCAGGCCTTGTAGCCGTTAATGTTGTCTGTTTTATATATTTATTTGATGTCAGACCTTGTAGCCGTTAATGTTGTCTGATTTATATATTTATTTGGTGTCAGGCCTTGTAGCCGTTAATGTTGTCTGTTTTATATATTTATTTGATGTCAGACCTTGTAGCCGTTAATGTTGTCTGATTTATATATTTATTTGGTGTCAGACCTTGTAGCCGTTAATGTTGTCTGTTTTATATATTTATTTGGTGTCAGACCTTGTAGCTGTTAATGTTGTCTGTTTTATATATTTATTTGGTGTCAGACCTTGTAGCTGTTAATGTTGTCTGTTTTATATATTTATTTGGTGTCAGACCTTGTAGCTGTTAATGTTGTCTGTTTTATATATTTATTTGGTGTCAGGCCTTGTAGCTGTTAATGTTGTCTGATTTATATATTTATTTGGTGTCAGACCTTGTAGCTGTTCATGTTGTCTGATTTATATATTTATTTGGTGTCAGACCTTGTAGCCGTTAATGTTGTCTGATTTATATATTTATTTGGTGTCAGGCCTTGTAGCTGTTAATGTTGTCTGATTTATATATTTATTTGGTGTCAGACCTTGTAGCTGTTCATGTTGTCTGATTTATATATTTATTTGGTGTCAGACCTTGTAGCCGTTAATGTTGTCTGATTTATATATTTATTTGGTGTCAGACCTTGTATCTGTTAATGTTGTCTGTTTTATATATTTATTTGGTGTCAGACCTTGTAGCTGTTAATGTTGTCTGTTTTATATATTTATTTGGTGTCAGACCTTGTAGCTGTTAATGTTGTCTGTTTTATATATTTATTTGGTGTCAGACCTTGTAGCTGTTAATGTTGTCTGTTTTATATATTTATTTGGTGTCAGGCCTTGTAGCTGTTCATGTTGTCTGATTTATATATTTATTTGGTGTCAGGCCTTGTAGCCGTTAATGTTGTCTGTTTTATATATTTATTTGATGTCAGACCTTGTAGCCGTTAATGTTGTCTGATTTATATATTTATTTGGTGTCAGGCCTTGTAGCCGTTAATGTTGTCTGTTTTATATATTTATTTGATGTCAGACCTTGTAGCCGTTAATGTTGTCTGATTTATATATTTATTTGGTGTCAGACCTTGTAGCCGTTAATGTTGTCTGTTTTATATATTTATTTGGTGTCAGACCTTGTAGCTGTTAATGTTGTCTGTTTTATATATTTATTTGGTGTCAGACCTTGTAGCCGTTAATGTTGTCTGTTTTATATATTTGTTTGTTGTCAGGCCTTGTAGCCAGTTCATGTTTGTTCTTAACAGAAGACTGTGAGGGTGGGTTTGAGTACAGTTCCACCACTGGTCAGTGTGAGATGTGTGACCAGGGCTACTACAGAGACAGGAGTGACCCTACACAGGCCCAGTGTCAGCCCTGCCCCCTACAGACAATAACCAGCCCTGGGCAAATCAGCACAAGTATCATCTTCTGTTTTATTGGTGAGACCATTTGATCCATATTTAATGTGATGCAAAAAACAAAGAAGAAAATACCAGCAAGTTCATAAAATCATAAATGAAAAATTTGGAAGTAATGTGATGTTGGCAAAACATCAAAAATAAAATAATTTTCACAAAGATAATCTTTAAAATACAAGGAGCATAAGATCACTACATTATGTTCTTTTCTGTTACATTTGACTTAATTTATCCTTCTCCTGAGTCAATTAGTAGTTATCAAAATATTCTGTTTTTTGAGCAACCATGCTGCAGCGAATCAGGGTAAGGCAAAAACCAGTGACATTTTGGTAACTCCTTAATCAAAAGCACCATTGTACCAGGTTGCCATGCTCCTCTTCAGTTCTCATCATGGGTGTGACCATATATGGGTAAAACAATATGTTACTAGCATTGTAGTGGTAAAGGGACTCTGTAGGTTACAACCATTTACTAAACTTTGTCTTTACTTTCCTGACATGTTGTTTGTTCTTGTATCTAGCCAACTGTACTGTTCCTGGAGAGTACCGTAACCCGGATGAGAACCTGTGTCAGCCGTGTCCGAGGGGTCAGTACCAAGACCAGAAATGGCAGGATTCTTGTGAGCAGTGTCCGGAGAACTATACAACTTTCAGTGTAGGAGCAGTATCCAGGGACCAGTGTCATAGTAAGTAAAGAATGGGGAAACGTTAAACAAAGGCCCCTCGCACGCTTCCATCTGAGCCAACAAGAGTGATTAATTTTATTTAACATTAAACAAAGGACTATTAATAAGTGTTTAAGTGTACACAAAAACAGTTCCCTCATTTGTATCAATTGATTTTATGAAACAGCAACAAAGGATAGCTGTAAAAAGTCAAGACAATACCAACATGTCAAAAGAACTTTAATTCAACCTCAACATCAATGAAACGTGGGGAAAATATGAGCTGCCAAAATATTTAGAGAGAGACCCATGAAAAAGTACAAGCAGAAAAAGACCATGTTTCAGCAAATAAGAATAAGGTTAGCAACAAGGAAACCACCACACATACTTATGAGTAGCAACCTCTTTTTTACTACTTATTAGCGGATTTTGATATTTATTTCAAGCATTTTTTTTTATTTAAAATTTTCTGTAGTCACCTCCTGAGTTATAACACAAAGCCTTTGATATTTCTCATGAGTCCTAGAAAGAGGAAATAGTTGTATGACGCAATTTTTTATTCATTTTTGGCAATATTGTATCTTGTTCTAATTTATTGAAAGGCGCTATTTATTTATGTGATTTTTGTACAATCCCTTCATATCGTACAAGGAAATACTGTATTTTCCACCGAGGTTATGGCAGTGACCAAAAAACTAACCCATAGTTGTCATCAACTTGCATCTCTCAGAACTTTGTTTTACAAGTTTATCTCTGGTCTTAAGTACCGGAACCAAGTTTATTGCTATCTAGAAATGGAAAAATTGCAGGTGAGAGATGAAAATCATCTCGTAAATTAATGTATATAAAGAACATTTTAGGTTGGTTTACATTACACCTATTCCTGATCAAGTTGTTAATCATCATAAGATTATATATCTGAGATTCGTGGTAAGAGGACACCACCAGCATGTGTGTGGCCTGTTTGGTTAATACCTATGATAATTCTTGCTGATGTCCTTATGTGTTGTAGTGGCCTGTGACTCTGGGTATGAAGAGGTCAATGCCACATGTGTCGCTTGTGCTGTGGGTACCTTCAGAAACCAACAGGACACTCAGTGGTGTAGGAACTGTTCTGTTGGCTGGACAACAACTTCTACAGCAACCACAGAAGCTGACCAGTGTGTTCGTAAGTCATTAGATAACTTAACAAGGAGAATCAACCTGATGCTTTAACCACATAACCAAATATTCAATTTTTGAGTTAGTATAATTGTTAGCCTAACAAGTCTGTAAGTAAAAACATCAATTTTTCCAGCAAACTGCACACGTGGCCAATACTATTCAGAGGTAAATGGACAGTGTGAGCTTTGTGACCGTGGAACGTACCAGATGGAGCTGTATCAGCGACAGTGTTCACCATGTGGACAGGGGACAGACACCAGGACAGATGGTGCCACAGCTAGGGACGAATGTTTGTGTATGTTTGTTCAGAGAAATATTTGTCAACCTCTTATCAACTACACTTCAGTTTTAACTGGATACAACAGGTTTTAATGACATTAAAGATTAGTTTAAGGTAGCTCTGTACTTCCATTATCTTTTCATTTCAATTTATGATTTCCATGGAGTTATAGCCTTTGAATTATTTTTTGATATTTTTTTTTTATGATTCTTGCTATTTTTTTCATTATCATGTTTTCTTGTTTTGAAGTCCCCTGACATCACAATTCATAAAAAAAGTTGAATAGATCTTGATAAGAATAATGTGTCTTTTTATCACCTTTGGTTCAGAGCTGAAATAATGCCAATCACTAATACAAGGATGACTGTGATGTTTAAACTTGTGGAATTCTTGTTGTAGCTCTGTGTCACAATCTTATTCACAACTGCTCCGAGCATGCACATTGTGAGGTAAATGGAAACAGATCCACATGTACCTGTAAGCTTGGTTACCTTGGTGATGGATATCATTGTCAACGTAAGTATACACCTAATATTGCAAGATATATAACACTTGCATGATATTTACATTCTAACAGAGATCTAAAAAGGGTATTGAGGGAGTATTATGGTGAACACAGTCATTAGACAATCAAAACTTAAAATTGGATTTAATGTCATACAGCTGTAATCATTCATGTGTCATATTCCTCCTGCAGATCGGTGTAACACTTCTGACTACTGTTTTAATGGAGGGACATGTGTCTTGGATGTCACCCAAAGTATCGGTTGTCAATGCCATTTCAAGTATACTGGGGACAGGTGTCAGTACCGCAAAGGTAAAATTCTACTCTATTGGCGGTGATTCTTCCAGTTGTAAACAGTCTTATTCCTCTGATAGATTACATCTGACATTATTGTCTGTTTCAGATGTGGAATCCATTGTCCCACAGACATGGACCATCATCGTGGGCTCTGTGGTCGGCAGTGTTGCTTTCCTTTCTATCTTCATCATTGTTAGTGTACTTCTTGGTGTCACTTACAGGTGAGTGAGAACTATACAGTGTCTAATATCACTTACAGATGAGTGAGAACTATACAGTGTCTAATATCACTTACAGGTGAGTGAGAACTATACAGTGTCTAATATCACTTACAGGTGAGTGAGAACTATACAGTGTCTAATATCACTTACAGGTGAGTGAGAACTATACAGTGTCTAATATCACTTATAGGTGAGTGAGAACTTATACAGTGTCTAATATCACTTACAGGTGAGTGAGAACTATACAATATCATGTGGTATCATCAAACATCATGTAGATTTGATGTAGCTTCTTCAGTGTAAACTGTTGGTCTTGTAATCTGGAACTTTCCTGGGTCGTACTGTGAGTGTATGGTATATAAAGCAAGTTGTATTTGACACCAGTATTTTTGTCAATCTTTTCAGCGAGTTACATTTCATTAAGACATCTTTCATCAATGACTGTTTCTTTTTTAACCAATTGGTTCATGAAACTTAAATCTCTATTTAGAGGACAAGGTTTTGGCAATATCAACTCACATTTATTAAAATATTAATTTCAGACATCACAAAGCATACAAGATGAAGAACGCTATCAATTCTTTGAAAAAGAAAAAAATGTCTCGGCCGTTTGTCACAAGAGCAAGTTTAAGTGATTATGGCAGTCCTACAGAACCACCATTCCGTTTACCTGACTCCAGTGTGCAGAAGACAAACAGCTTCAATTGGAGTCCAGTGGAAGAAGGGAAACTAAAGGACGTTAATCATATAGATATGGGTAATGGGATGGATGATTCCATCTATCAGCCGCCGAGAGAGGAACCATGAATATTGATATCAGTGTTACACCTCGAAATTTTAATCTAGGAATATATGATTATATAAATATGGAAATAAATGTGCTTGTTATATACATTTTCTGTATTGATCTACTATTGAGCTTTACTAAACCTTCATGTAACAATTTTGATGTATAAATGGTATAATTGTAATTCTAAGATAATGACTATGTAACATATCTTTTTATTTTTCATGACCTTATCCCCGTTATACTCCTGATTTCTGATGCTAGCCACAAGATGGCAGTCATCTTGAGGCAGAAGATTGACATTGAAATCAGAGAAATTTATTACATATATATAACATGTGTCATGTGAAGTGGAGAGTACAATGAGGAGAATGTGACATGTTCACATTGACTTTGCCCTGCCTCTGGTGAGTTTGTTTGGTAATGTTTAAAGATTGATAAAGATGATAACCTTGACTGTACAGTAGGCATTAATTCGGGGATCAGCTCCAGTTACAAAATCACAACATACACAGATAATCCATGCAGAGAAACATTTTAAGCTTTTACATATGGAATTAATTCTACAATAAAGTGAAATGATATGGCAAGACTTAAAGGCCGGAGATGGGGTATAAAAGTGAGACAACTTTGGAAAAGGGAGGAAGTTTTAAAATTTTGGATGCCTTCACATCAAAGAATGTTGATCCTAAAATTAATATTTTTTGTAACAATATTTGACACTAATTTTGTCATGATTTTCTTGGATATGAATATGTTCATGATTTTCTTTCATTAGATCTCATTTGGATGCAATCCTGATAAGAATTATTTGTATGTAAATTTACTTGCTGGTCAGTCAAATTTGAATCAAGCATTACCAGATGTTGATAAGGAGGTTTACATTTGATGATGTTGCTATGGTCCTAGTCGTGGATGCTGTGTAAACAATGTCCAAACTCTATCAACATTTAGCGGCAATGTCCAAAGATTTTTTCCTTACACAAATACATGAATGTAAATGTAGTGTGAAAGTGAGTGAAAATCCTCAAGTAAGTGAAAAAGTAAGTGAAGATCCTCAAATTTATTTCCCTATAAGACACTTAAACATCACACATTTTATTATAAAAACAATCGGAAAATAGTCACATGTGAACACACATGCCAGTTACTAAATGTTTTCATTTGTCTGAGATATAATGATAACTTGTTTCAGAAATTCGTGACATTGAATTGACGTCATCTATACGTCCCAAATTTTAGGGAGGAAGGGGGACAACTCCCACATTGGTTAGGACAGACTACTTTACAACAGTTATTCAATAAACAATGTATATTGGGAACGGAAAACAAGTCGAACGCTTGTATTACAATCACATAGCAATTGTTAACAAGCAGGTACAAGCTATAACATCATGTCTACAGTTAATTAATGTCAAGAAATTTGTTGGAAATCAGAGAAAATCGGACCTGATAAGTTATAGACAGATGATAATATCTCACTCTTCATCAAACGTCTTCACAAAGGAATATCTTGTATAGGGAGGTGCACTAGCTGGGACTAGCTGATCAGATAAAAATATTGTTGTCACCTAAAGCTGATATTAATTACTGCGAACTCTAATCACAATAAGTCCACTAGTACCTTATTTGGTATGGTCTGGAGCTAGAGTAGACGATAAAGACCAAAACAAGGCATCGATACTTGTCAACATGAATTAACTCAAGTCTCAGCTTTTTCTCAGTTCGTGTTTTTATCTTTTCTCAAAATGTTCGTATCGTATCATATTTCTTATCTATATGTTTTAATAATGTAATTTCATGTGAAATATGTTTCACGGAAGACCTTTCCCACAATCAATCACATGAAATATAGAAATGTTCCTACAAGGAAATGAAGACATTGCAATTTTGCCTATTTGGCATTTCTTCAAGTTTCAATCATTTTGAATATATGAAATCGTGTCTACAACAGTAAATGGCAAACAGCGTTCAAACTATGGGAACGTTTTACGATCTTTAGTTTGCATGGTGATTCATTGCTGTATACCTTGTTCTCAGTTGAGAACATGACATTACTTGACTTGGATTTACAAGGCGGGTGTCGTCGATGAAGCAGAAGACGCTTGCTCTTCCGTAATATCTGGTCTTCTTGTACTTTTTCAGAAGTCTCTTTCATTTGTTCATATTTTGTCCATATGATTATATTGATACGTTGGTATTTCTTCTGGTCTCTGTATTACTGTACATAAAAAGTAAATAGTTCGTTTCCTAAGGTAGAAGTTCACCATTGTCTCACTTAACATGAACATTTAAACATTGTAATACTTACTACGTAGAAGTTTAACATTGTTAAACTTGACGTAGAAATTTAACATTGTTATTCTTAATGTAGAAGTTTAACAATGTTATACTTAACGTAGAGGGTTAACATTGTTATTCTGAATGTAGAAGTTTAACAATGTTATACTTAACGTAGAGGGTTACCATTGTTATTCTGAATGTAGAAGTTTAACAATGTTATACTTAACGTAGAGGGTTAACATTGTTATTCTGAATGTAGAAGTTTAACAATGTTATACTTAACGTAGAGGGTTAACATTGTTATTCCTAATGTAGAAGTTTAACAATGTTATACTTAACGTAGAGGGTTAACATTGTTATTCTGAATGTAGAAGTTTAACAATGTTATACTTAACGTAGAGGGTTAACATTGTTATTCTGAATGTAGAAGTTTAACAATGTTGTACTTAACGTAGAGGGTTAACATTGTTATTCCTAATGTAGAAGTTTAACAATGTTATACTTAACGTAGAGGGTTAACATTGTTATTCTGAATGTAGAGGTTTAACAATGTTATACTTAACGTAGAGGGTTAACATTGTTATTCTGAATGTAGAAGTTTAACAATGTTATACTTAACGTAGAGGGTTAACATTGTTATTCTGAATGTAGAAGTTTAACAATGTTATACTTAACGTAGAGGGTTAACATTGTTATTCTGAATGTAGAAGTTTAACAATGTTATACTTAACGTAGAGGGTTAACATTGTTATTCCTAATGTAGAAGTTTAACAATGTTATACTTAACGTAGAAGGTTAACATTGTTATATTCAACGTAGACGTTAAACAATACAATATATACCACCGTAAATGATTGTATTGTATACCTAACGTCGAATTAACGTTATAGATGTTTTGATTCGTATTTTTCTGTCATACAAAAGCACACAAAGAGTCATTTGGTATTGCCCAACATTAAATTTTAGACTTTGTTGCACTCAGGAACGTTCCTGGTTATATCCAATGTACAAATATAAACAAACACAGATATCTAGTTCATATGAAACTAATGAAGAGGGGTTTTATTTGTATTTTTTTACTGAAGTAGAGGTTTTTATTACTGAACAGAAATTCAACGCAATCCATGAAATATGTTCAAAAACCCTATGTTATAACCTCGAAAATGTAAAAAAAAAAAAAAAAAAAAAACTTAAAATCATATGTATTTGCACATTTTTGTGCAGTGTAGTTATAATGTATAAAACATTATGTTGTCTAATGTTTACCATATTTTGAGTTGTACCTACAAAATAATTTTAATCGTTATTGTTTTTTTGATTTTGTATGTTTCAATCACTGTGTTTTCATTTTGTGTATTTCACACACTGTTATTTTTCAATTTGTTTTCGCGTGGATATATTATTGTCGTTTGTCATAATCACCTTATATAAGCTATAGATTCATATGGTCAATACAAATGTATCTCATATTTGTGAAATGATCATCCGTTAAATTACATTTCAAGAATTAGTATTTTTGTTTAAATATTAAAATTATTGAAATCATTATTTTCTTGGATGTTTCATGTTAAGCTGTACATATTTATATACCAGAAGCTACTATAAGACATCTACAGCCTTACACATTCTCGAAATGTATTCAGTTCTACAATATCTCTAAAGTAAGAAATATTTAAAAATGAAATTCTACATTTAGCATCAAGTTTATCATTACAATTGACGGAAAATTAAAATATTATTAAGAAAATATACATAAATTGTATAGGCCTAACATACAAATGATAGTTTAAGTGTATTACCATTCTGTGTGATTTCCAAACTGTCAGGAAAAACAATCTTGATCGACACAAACAAAATATTGTAAATTTATTGTTCGTTGCGCTTTAAATAAAACAAAAACAATTATCTAAATTGTGATATTGTGTTTTGTAAATTTCATAAATGCTTAACGGTGGTAAGTTGTACTCTGTGGTAAGTTGTTCTCTGTGGTAAGTTACACTCTGTGGTAAGTTACACTCTGTGGTAAGTTGTACTATGTGGTAAGTTGTTCTCTGTGGTAAGTTACACTCTGTGGTAAGTTACACCCTGTGGTGAGTTACACTGTGTGGTAAGTTGTACTCTGTGGTGAGTTGTACTCGTGTAACTTTTTTTTATTGTTGACGTAAATTAACAAACGATGGCTTGTACTTATATAAGACACATATATATCATGTAAAATATTGTATGACATAATTAAAGGTGTCATACATTCTGAGAAATATAGAAAATAAATAAAAGCACGGCGATTTTGTCAACAGTGCACATAAATACAGTATCCAGTATACAAAAAGGAAATCTTCACGAAAACATTAGGCAAGTCATACAGTAGAATAGCACACGAACTTGAGTAAGTCTAGTACTAACATATATAGTTAATCACGCTGGGTACAGAACAATGGCATAATGTTGGTGCTAAAAACAGTACTGAAATTGTATTTAATTATAGGCCATCAAACTTGAGATAAATAAGGAAAATGAGGTCAACAGGGTGTTAAATTCTTAAATACGAAACTACGGTACTGGATTCCGAGTTATATTACTACAGTTACGTCCCCTTTGACCACTGATGTACGTATTCGCATTAGCATTACCTCCCCTTAGACCACAAATGTCTCGATATTTGTGGATGCTACTAGATCAATTAGCAGTATTTGTATTAGTATTTGTTTGGTATGTATTCTAACACAAAGGACTTTTG